CTCGGGACCCCAGGAGGGAGGACGTCTACACGGCTCAAGGGCTGTGGTGCTGCTGAGCCCTTCAACCCGGGTTACAGTCAGCCTGAGGCTGGGGCAGAGCTGGGGGAGCCTGAAGTATGCGTGCCCCTGATGACCACTGCAGGCTGGACATGCCATGGGCGGGACAGCCACCTGGACCCCCAGCCACATGGCACGCAGCACACACAGCCCAGAGCATACCGTGGCCACACCCCCATGCTGATGACAGGCTCCCCTCTGGGGCCCCAGAGAACAGCAGGAGCCGAGGGGTCGGGGCCTGACTTCTTCCATCCTTGGGTTCAACCCCCAGCTCAGAGCGAGGAGGCCTGAGACCAAGGGCCCAGGACAGAGGTCCCTCCAGGCTGTCACCATTTGCCTGATCCCCCCACACAGACACACGTGCACACACATATGCACACAGGTGTGCCCAGACTCACACCTGCCCACCCACCCACCACAGGTGTGCCTGTAGGCTGTAGGCTGAGTTAAGTCAGGTACCTGCTTTCATATGTTGACGCTGGGCAGACAAATGTCCACTGCAGTTGCTGGAAGGATGGACGGATAGACAGGGAGGGAGGGACAGACAGGCAGATGGTGGGTAAAAAAATTGAAGCTGAGTGCACTGCTCACACCCCTTGTTTCCCGGTCAAGACCGGTTACTCTAAGGCCTGCTATGAACCCATTTCATAGATGAGGAAACAAAGGCAGGAGGTACGATGTGACTGGCACGGGGTCACACGGCGAGCTCTCAGTGATGCCCAGGACCCAGTCTCCAGGGAGGCGTCTGCCTGGCCTGGTGATGCAGGTGGTGTTGGCACCATAGCCATGCAGATCTCAGGCACTGGTTTCAGCATCTCCTGCAGTCCTGTACCAGGGGCCACCTGCTCCCCTGGGCCTGCAGGTCAGGCCTCAGTGGCCTGGGGACCTTCCCCACCTGGCTCTCTAGACCCCCTCCCCACCTAAGCCGGACCCGAGAGGCTCAGAAGCAGTGCACAGCGGGATGAAGCCTGGAACTCTCCCCGCCCACAGCGTTCACAGCACACGGTACTCAGAAGCTTGTAATTAAACACTTGAGTGTCATCAGATACCCCAGCACGGGGCCTGATGAATTCATCACCAGGACACAGACCCCTCGCTTTCCTCCTCCCCACCCAGTGTGCAGTGGTGGCCCTGAGCTGCGAAGTGGGGGCGACGTTCTAGGAGAGCAGAGCCCACTCACCCCACCCCCACAGGCCCGCTCCCACCCCCAGCTCTAGCAGCCGCCCACCCAGGCGCCAAGGCCAGAGACAGGGGTCTTCCTGGCCCTGCTCAAGACTCAACTCCTGAGCTGCCCACCCGCCCCTCCCTTACTGTCCCTTACTCCCACCCACCCCTGCCCCCGAGTCCTGTCCGGCCCACCCTGAGGGGCCCGGATGCAGCCCCTCCACCACCTCCCAAGCAGCCAGACTCGTTCTCAAAACCCGCATCTGACGACGGGACTCTTCCTCCAGAAACCCAGAACCCCAACCTAAGCCCAAGAAAAGCTTCAGATAAACCCAAACGAAGGGGCACCCTGCAAAACACCCGCCTAGAGGCCCTCAGAAGCAAGGACTGTCACAAAACAAAGGAGACGCGGGGACGGAATGTCACGTGGGATCGCGGAACAGGAAAGGGGATTAGCGGAAACAAGGAAATCTGAGTCAAGTGTGGGTGAACTACCAGGAAGGTACCAGCCTGGGTGTCTCCGCCAGCGCCCACAGCCCACCAGATGAGGTGAGATGTTGCAGGACGGGGGTGGCCTGTGTGTGCCCAGGAGCCCTCCCTGCCATCTCCGCACCTGCTCTGTAAATCTAAACTATCCTAAAATAAAAAATGTTTTAAAAGGAGATAAAGTGCGTACCAGGGATCTGATTAAAGTGTGGTGAAATGTTCACAGCTGTTTAATCTTGGTTGGGAGTGGGGGTTTCCCGAACCCTCTTGCCAATGTAGGAGAGGTTACGAGACGCGGGTTCGATCCTGGTCGGGAAGGTCCCCTGGAGGAGGAACTGGCCACCCACCCCAGTGTTCTTGCCTAGAGAATCCCATGGACAGAGGAGCCTGGCCGGCCACAGTCCATGGGGTCACAGGTGTCGGACACGACTCAGCGACTGTGGTGAGGCAACGGGTATCTGTTATATTGTTTTCTGTGTGTTTGAAATGTCTCATAATTAAACATTTAAGAAAAAAGAAACCCAAATCTAGTACATTACCCAGCCCTGACACCCTCCAAAGCCCCCCTTAAACTTTAGGATTTAGTGCAAAATTCTTAACCTCCTCCACAAGACAGCCCAGGACTCTCCCGCCCACCACTTTACCCTGATGTCACACAGGGCCTGGCCAATCCCTAGGGCTCTGCCCTCTGACGTCACACAAGGCCTGGCCAATCCCTAGGGATCTGCCCTCTGACATCACACAAGACCTGGCCAATCCCTAGGGCTCTGCCCTCTGACATCACACAAGACCTGGCCAATCCCTAGGGCTCTGCCCTCTGACGTCACACAAGGCCTGGCCAATCCCTAGGGATTTGCCCTCTGACGTCACACAAGGCCTGGCCAATCCCTAGGGCTCTGCCCTCTGACATCACACGAGACCTGGCCAATCCCTAGGGCTCTGCCCTCTGATGTCACACAAGGCTTGGCCAATCCCCAGCATTTGGCCTCCGTGTCACACAGGGACAAACGCCTTCAAGTTTGCCTGGTTCTGGCCCCTGGACCAGGCTGCCCGCCTGCAGCTCTGGCAGATCCAGCCTTTGTAGGGAGGGGTCACCTCACTGGACATCACGAGTTGTGGTGCGTGAAGCTCTCCCTACCCCCAGGCCCAGGTCTAGGGGCCACCTGTGAGGCAGGCGTTGTTCTCCCATTTCAGAGATGGGGAAGCCGAGGCTTCCCAGTGATTAGAGGGGTGTGGGCTAGAAGCCAGAGTCTGTGCTGTGGACCAACGCTTTCCGCCTCACTGCCTTCCTGGCCCTGGTTTCCCATCTGTGAAGTATTTCCGGGGCCACAAGGCCAGCCTGGGTGGAAGAAATCTTGGGGCCCTTGTATTCTGGGCCCTGTTGCCTCTCAACACTAGGGTGAAGGACACCATAGTAATTTTACTGAGCACCTTCTATGTGCCAAGCCCTGGGTTTACAATAGCATTGATTCAAGTCCTGGGTGGGGCTTGTGTTCTGGAGGTGGGGGGCAGCTGACAGTACACAAACAGGCGCATACTGTACTGACTGGAGGTCTGTGAAGAATGCAAGAGGCCAGGCGCCTGGGAACTCATGGCAGTGAAGGAGGATGTCCCAGGAGGCCCCTCGGAAAGCCAAGACCTCCTTGAGCAGGTGAGGGAGCCAAGCAAGGACTCAGGGAAAAGCATCACAGGCCGGCGAGGGCGGGTGCGAAGGCCCTGAAGCAGGCGCTCCTCTGCTCCGCTTGAGAACAGCAGAGAGGCCAGCGTGGCTGCGGCAGAGTGAGGGGCCTCGAGGAGGCCAGGGCCTCCTGGGGGACAAGCCCCTCGGTGGGACATCCGTGGCCCCGGTCACACGGGACCAGGCTGCTGCAGTCTGGGGGCTGGCCGGCTGGTGGGCCCTGGATGTCTTGGGCGCCTACTGCGCCAGGCTCTTCCACCGTCTTCAGAAGTCTCCCTCTGGCTTAGTGAGTGCCACTCCCCCCCCCCGCCCCTCACAGGGCTGGCAGGGAAATGAGGGCCAGCAAGGATAGGGCAGGAGGGGTGGCCAACAGTCTTCAGAGTCCGGGCAGCCTGACTCCCACCATGCCAGAGGGAAACTGAGGCCCGGAGGAGACTCAGAACAAGCTTCTGGGACTAGTCCTGCTACACCTGCTTCCCCGGCCAGGTGTGTACAGGTAGGCAGGCAGGTGCATGGCTTACCTGCTGGGCAGGTTTAACAGGGCACAGCCAACTGTTCTGATGGGAGAACCAGTCAAAGTGCCAGACAGACCTAAAGGCCCTACGAGGCCAGCTGGGTCCACCAGCTGGGCTTCCAGAAAGGGAAACTGAGGCCCGGAGCAGGCCTGCCAGCTCCTAAGAAGCTACAGCGCACCTGGGTCAAATGGTGCCCCCTTTTCCCGCCCTGTCCCCCGACCTCGTGACAAAAAGACGCCTGGGCCGGGGGCTGCGGCCCACCGTGGACTCACCCTGCCCCAGCCCCCAAGGAACAATTTACCTTTCAGAGCCGGTCCAAGATATTAATTAAGATAAATCTACCTCAATTTTGAGATTCTCTTATCATGTAATTTATCAAAAGTATGTTAATTATTTCTGTAGGGCAGCAAAATTATTACCTCTTTTGTGTCTGATTTGTATTAATATTCATAATTTAATAATTCAGCATCCTGGCCATCTGGTCCAGGAGCAGCTCCCTTCCCTCCCTTGGTCCTTGCAGAAGCGTCCCCACCACGCTCTCCGTGTCCCCGGGGCCCGGCCTCCCTGGTCCCCACACCTTCTTGCATCCAGTTCTGTGGTCGCCGCTCGCAGCCAGCCCGCCCGGCCCAAGGCCCCCGTGGCCTCAGCCTGCAGGTTGAAGCGCAGGTACCGCGCGCACACCGCCACCCCCGCTTGGCAGGTGAGCCAAGCTGAATTGACATTTTCCACACTTTGTGAGTTTTACACTGTAATTTGACATAATTAATGCCTACATTACTGCTGATAATTTAGCTAGTTAATTAAACTCGGAGGAGATAATTAAGGAAAGGCTACTGCTTGGATTGCTAATTGTTTTTGTCATTATTTCAGGGGCCGACAGCTGCCGGCTGAGTCATCCTGTTTTGTCAGCTGACAGGTCACATGATGCGGGGGTCCCCTGGGGGGCCCCCCACTTCCAGGGGAGGGAGGCACGCAGCCGGCTACCTGGCTGCTGCCTGGAGCCCGGCCAGGTGCTGCTGGCTGGTCCTGCCCCTCCCCCTCCTCCCCCTCCCCACTCCTCCTGCTGAGGTGACAGCCGCCCCCACCCGGAGCACTGGGTCTGGGGTCACTCCAAGGTCAGCCTGAGCAAGCCGGGGGAGGAGGGCAGCCCTCCCAGCCCTGCATCCAAGCCCATGGGCTGATGTGCCTGGGCAGCACCCGAGCCTTCTGCAATAGGCAGATAGAACGGGGGACTTCCTGGGCCTGCTGGAAGTCAGCACAGATTATCCCACGTGGCGGAGAAAGACTGGAGACCGTGGGAGCAGGTGGGGGGGCGGGACTGTGCGCCCAGCTCTCTGACGTCCATCAGCAGGTGGAGCTGGCTTTGGAGAACTACTCTGACTTTGCTCCAACCCTCCCAAGGGTGGAGGGCTGCCCACCCCCTGTGGCAGGTAGACCTGAGACCAGGGGAAAGGGGAGCCGCTGAGATCCCCCCCCGGCGGGCCACACTCCCCGATGAGCCGACAAAGCGCACACAGCCACCTGCCCATGGCACAAGGGGTGTCACGCTGTCACCAGCGCCTCCACTTTCGGGGAAGCTCCAGGTCGCACCGCAGACCCGACGCAGGCCCCAGGGAGGGCAGGGAGTGCAGGAGGGCGAGCTGCTGGTCCCGGGCCACGCTGCCACAGATGGGGGACAGCCCTGAGGGAGTATGTGATCCCGTGGTCAGGGCCAGGGCCTCATCTCCATGGGGCTCACACAGACAAGGGGAAGGACTGCACACGTAGCTGGGCGTCCTTAGAGGGCTCGACCTGGCTCTCAGAACATGCAAGGCAGAAGCTGAGACAATCCTGGTTTATCATCCCTTGGAACAAGAAGTCTCCACGTAGGAAAGTTCTAGATCAGCTCATTCGGGGCAAGGCAACAGCCACAGGATGTCAGCAAACATCCAGGAGCCTTCCCTGTCTCCGCCCTGCCAGTCTCTGTGTGGTGACCGTATCTTCCCTCGTGGTCCCAAGCTGGCTGCTGTGGCACCGTGAGTCCCAAGTCCCACCCTGGCACCCCCACGTCCCAGGTAGCACCCAGCAAAGACGGGAGGGGGGTGGTGTCTCGCCTAGTCACATGACTGTCTTAACGGCAGGTTTGCAGGGAGGCCTAGAAACGTGAGCTTTTCTCCCCATGAGCCTTCCTCCTTTCTGCTTTTGGCAAGAGCTCTAGCTCGGCCCGTGAGAGCTGGCTTCCCTCCCACAGCAGAGCTCCTTCGTGGAATGCTTCACCGGTCTGGATGAAAGTGCTGTTAGCAAATCTGCAGTGTCCTTCCTCGAGCTTTCGGCTTGGCTACCTTCACCCCAAACACCTCTCTCATAAGACTTATCAAAGGCACAAGAAGCAGTCAGTTAACACTGATATTCTGACTATTTTCCTACTATTTCCCCAGCTTTGATGAATCTGTGGTCTGGAAGCTAAGGCAGCACAGGTTAACAGCTGCATCTAACTTTCCATGAGTTCATCATTACGATCACCAACTTCCCAACCAGAGCGCCGGGCCTCACTGCCCGCTGCCCACCGGCCCTCCTGCAGACAGTTCCACAGTCTGAGGTTCTGCTAGTGGCCACACCTCCATTCCAGGAAATAAATTTCCAGTCATCTACAAATATCAGGAAATCTGAGTAAAACAAAAAGGGGGTGATTTTCCCATACAGAGTAGGTTGAACGATGCCCCCTAAAACTTCATGTCTGCCAGGAACCTCACAGTGCAACTTTATTTGGAAATGGGGTCATCAGAGAGGGCCCTGATCTGGTGTGACGTGTCCATGTGAAAGGAGGCGTCTGGACCCAGACCTGCACTCCGCGGATTGCTGGCAGCACCAGGAGCTAGTGAGAGGCCCAGAAGAGGCCTTCCTCACAGCCTCAGAGGGAGCCAACTCCACAGACACCTTGGCTCCGGAACGGGGTACTTTCTGGCTGCACCACGTGGCTCATGGGACCTTAGTTCCCTGAGCAGGGATTGTGTCCAGGCCCTCGGCAGTGAAAGCGCAGAGTCCTAACCACTGGGCTCCCAGGGAATCCCCAAATGTCTGTTTTTCAAGCTAGCAAGTCAGTCGTACTTTGTTCTCACAGCCCTAGGAAACTCACACACCGCAAGAAACCCAGAGATACAGAGGATCTGAGCGCGTACTGAGACTGTCAGTCGTGTCCGACTCTTTTGTGACCCCGTGGACTGCAGCCCGCCAGGCTCCGGTGTCCATGGGATTCTCCAGACAAGAACACTAGAGTGGGTTGACATGCCCTCCTCCAGGGGATCTTCCTGACCCAGGGATCGAACCCTGGTCTCCTGCATTGCAGGCGGGTTCTTTACGGTCTGAGCCTCCCAGAGCCTCCTTTACCGGGGATGAGAATGGCCATGATTGGCTTGTACGAAGTATGACTCATTTCCTAGGGTTGGGGAGGGGGCCATCTGCCCTGAGCCAAGGATACCAGAAGCCATCTACCCTGGAGGGGGACAACCAGACGAAATGGGGAAGCCAGCAGGGTCTGCTCTCCGGCACACGCAGGGCCCGCTCTCCGGCACACGCAGGGCCCTGGGAGTGAGCAGCGGAGGGGACGCTGCGGGGACTCTGGTGGGCAGCGGGTGGGAACAGGCCCCCTGTGGGAACTAGACAGCAGCCTCTCAGGCCGCTGGCAGCAGCCCGGTCAGAGCCGCTGGCCCTTTGATAAGAGGGGCGGCGGGGTCTGGAAGGAGGGCAAGGGCAGGGGTGGTGGGCGAGGGTGGTGTCCGCACCCCTAGAGGTGGGCAGGAAGAGAGGGCCACCGAGCCGGCGCAGGTGGACTTCCCCAGTGGGCACGCGGGGTCATAGCCACTGACGGGGCAGCAGCCCTGACTGCCGGACAGAGGGTTCAGGCCACGGCCGCGAGGGCCGGGCGCGCGACGGTGGACTCTCTAGCTGCTGCACTAAAACAATGAGCAAGAGACGAGATCAGTCTCGTAACATATCTTATGGAACCCGATATGTGTGAAATGTCTCCATTTCAACATGTGATCAACATAAAATGCTCTGAACGGGAGGTCCTGTCCTTCCCGCGAGCACAGTGTGGGAAAGCCCGCCCGCCTCTCACCCTGGGGCGAGCTTTCCAGGGACTGGCCCGGCTGCAGGTGTGTGACGACGCCCCAGCCATCACCCAGGCCGTCTGAGCGCCCCTCTTCCCCAGACTGGCGAGTGGGGGGCTCTGCCAGAACTCAAGGCTGCAGCCCAGCTTCTTCTGCCCCAAGGAAGCCCAGGTGCACTCAGGGTCACCCCTGCTGTTCACCTACCTGCCCGCCCTCCGACCCCCAGCTCCGAGGGGCTTCCTTCCCCCCCCCATGCGCCCCTCTGGCCGCTCAGCTTGTCCCTCATGGTACCAGCAGTCCCTGCCTCTCCCCCTCTGTCCTAGAGACAGCATTTTCCCGCTAAGATGCCCCCAACCCCCCGTGGAGCCTTGGACCCTGGCCCCAGCCCCCGACTCACAGAGAGAGGCGGATCCACCCCGGGGGGCCAGCCCTGGACGCCCCCATCCCCTCTCCCCAGCAGGTCCTCCCGCCTCAATAAACGAGAGGAGAAATGGCCCACATGGAAGCATCACATTGTTAAAACCACTGATGAAGTTTCACACAGCCATGCGGTTTCAGCTTTTTAATTTAATACGATATAATTTCAATTTGTGATAAGATAAGATGTCCTCAGACTGCACTCCGATTGGACTAGGGTTAGGGTTAGGGTTTGGGAGGTGAGGCGTGTGTCAGGGGGACAATCTTGGCTAACAGCATAATGGGCCAGCGGTCACACCATCCGCCCTCATCAGGGTCTCTGGCCCACCTGGCAGAGCCTGTCAGCACAGAGCCTGGGACCCCGGGATAGGATGGCTGGGAGAGGCGCCTGGGTGGGCCTGCAGAGGGGCTCCCAGGCCCCCGGCCCCCAGGCACAGGTCTCTGCTGGGAGGGGTGGGAGGGGGCATGGGGAGGCCCTGGAGTCAGAGCGCTGCTGTTGGGGGTGACTGGGAGCCCCAGCAGCCTCAGGGGCGGGGAGGCTGCACGCGAGGCATGAGGAGGGCCCCCATCTTCCCGCCGCACCCCTCCTGCAGGGCTGGGAGCCTGTGGGCCGAGGGGTGTCCACCCTGAGCTCACGTCCACTGCCCACACAGCGTGCTCTGGGTCCCTGGGCTCAGGGTGCCCTGATCTGACAGCCTAGCTCTGACACCCTCCTTGGGGTCTTCACAAGCCCCCATCCACTGGTGTGCATGCTCCTAGGCCCACCCCTGCATCTACCAGGGGCGAGGAGACCCCTCCCAGGGCAGGACAGGCCCCGTGGGGAGAGAAGAGTGTGGCACACGGGCCCCGGGGAGGCCCCTCCCCCGAGAGACCCAGCTCGACCTCCGGCGCCTTCACACTGACTCCATTAGGAAGGGCTGCAGCCAGCCCTGGGGTCGGTGGCCCAGGAGGGACTCGGAGGGGCTGGCGGAAGCCAGGCACACCCTGCCCGTGTCCCCTAGAGGCCTGGGCAGCCCCTTCTTCCCGGGAAGCCTGAGATGCTGAGAGGTGAAAACGTGACCACAGCGGTGACCACAGACTTTGTGGGGCGACTGTGGCTCCTGCCTGGGCCCAGCCAGACAGGGCCCCTCCCCAGTGAGGTCCCAGACAGGAGGGGGGCCTGGAGTGGCTCCAGGCTCTGCTCCCCACACCTCCCAGATGGAGGCTAAGGACACCCGAGTCCAGGCCCCGCCATGCCCGCCACGTGACCTGGCCCTCCTCCGGGACCCACTCACCTTCCTGGCAGAGGCAGTGATGCTTCCCGAGGCCATGCCTGCACGCTAACCCCAGGACCGGTCCCGCCCCAGGTGCCCACCCTGCCCCGCCCCGCCCAGCCAAGGATGGCCCTGTTGACCCCTCCTCCTCCTGCCTCTGATCCAGGGGGGCGCTTCCCCCCTCTAGGGTGGGAGTGCAGGTGGCTGGGGCCTGGGCGCAGGGAGCCCGGGCTGTCCGTGGGAGGGGCCGTCACAGCCCGAGACTCCTGCCCAGGGCACGCCCCGCGGGCCCCAGCCCCGCGGACATGGCTGAGAGAAGCGAGTCTGGACGAGCCAGTGGGGGTTGCGGGGGTGAAGGAGGCCGTGGGGCCCCGCTGAGGTCTCCGCTGTTTACAGCCACGGGGTCCTCGTGTGCGTGCTCGTCCCCTACTCCTGCCCACGGGCTGTGCTGGGAGGGGGTCCCCAGAGGGAGACCTTCTCTCTGACACTCCAGGGGGCCCGGGGCTCCCCAGGCTGAGCGCCCTCTGGGCTCAGGAGGCGGGGCCGCCAGCCCTGAGATGCCCCAGGAACCCCAAGGCCTTGACCCCTGCCCTGGCTCCCTCAGGTCCGAGCAGGGCAGGAGGGGCCGCCCACCTGTGGGCACTCTGCCCCCGAGCCCACGCAGCTCTCCAGCCCCGGGCGGCACCCCCCACCCCCCACCCGCAGCAGTTCGGTGCCAGCCCGGGGCTCAGGCTGGCTCTCCGGGGGCCGCGGCTGCCCAGCAGCATCGCGAGCCACCCCCCACCCCCCACCCGCAGCAGTTCGGTGCCAGCCCGGGGCTCAGGCCGGCTCTCCGGGGGCCGCGGCTGCCCAGCAGCATCGCGAGCCCCTCCCCGGGCGAGAAAGCTCAGGCCCAGGAAGGGTGAGGAGACAAAGCACCTAAACCAGGGTGACCTCCAGAGCCCAAATGGGCCAGGGTGGTGGGCAGCCGGGGGCTCAGGGAGCCTCCTTGAGGAGCCAGGCTTGTGGAGGGCTGGGCTCCAGGCGAGGGGCAATCAGGGCTGCCCCACCTCTGCCCGGGGGGCGAGGCGGGGGTAAGGAGGCCAGGGCGGCGGAGCCTCCGGCGGCAGCAGAGGGAGAAGGCCGGGCTGGAGGGTCCCAGTGGGCTCGGGGTCTGGTAGACAGGAGCCCCTGCTGGGCCACCTCGCCCTTCCTCCTGCAGCCACCACCCACTCCCCACCCTGAGCTCCCCTCAACACCCCGGACCCTCCACGCAGCCAGGCCTGTCTGAGGGTCGCCTCTGCCCTGAAAGTCCGTCGGTGAGGCCCCGGGCCCGCATGTGGGCCCCAGGAGGGCCCCGGGGAACAGCCTCCAAACACACAGCCCACCACCGTGTCCGCTGAGGGAAGCACGGTTCCTCCGGGCCACGTCTGGGAAGAGAAAGGCCGCATTAAGCGCCTCCTGTATGCACAGGTGAATCTCAGAGCCCGAGGAGCTGCCCAGCAGATGTGGCCTTGGGTCCAGCTAAGCCTCCCACTCAGCGCTGTGACCTCTGGACACTGCCGTGCCCACTCCCGCCTGGGCTGCGGGCCCCTTGCAGTCGTCGGGGTCCCCTGAGGCGGGAGCACCAGCTGATTCCCCTCCAAGTTGGGGGCAGCAGTGAAGCCGGGTCCCACCTATACCCCTCGAGAGTGATCCCTGTGGCCCCTCCTGCCTGCCCTGTGGATGGACGCTGTATGACCTGGTACCTCCTCTGCCCCCAAGGACACCGCCATGACCGGGCATGGACAGCCTGCCAGCAGCTCAGACCCTGGGGGTGTGACCACCAGCAGGGGCTCTGCTACCCTGAGCCCCCCAGCACCCCCAGGGTGGCCCCCAGGACCCAAGGAGGAGCCATGATGGAGGGCAGCCCCCTCTCCCCGGGGGTGCATGTCCTCAGAAGGTGCATGTCCCCAGCGGGGCCGTCCCCTAACACACGCCCGGAGGAAGCCTTCCCACCCCGTCTCGAGACGCCCTGTGCACCCACCCGCCCGGGCCACGTGGAGGGCACTGCCGCAGGAGGGCCGCAGGTTCCAGCCCCAGGCCACACCTCGCTTGCTGTGTGACCCCGGGGCCGGCCTCACCTCGCTTGCTGTGTGACCCGGGGGGCGGCCTCACCTCGCTTGCTGTGTGACCCCGGGGCCGGCCTCACCTCTCTGAGCCCATCTCCTTGTCAGTCAAGTGGACCTACCGGCTCTGCTGAGCGGCCCTCTGCCTCCCCCTGGTGGTAAGAGGCCGCGCTGCCGCGGGGGCCCGCGTGGGAGGATGGCCTGGGCGCTGGCGCTCAGGGAGAGTCAGGCTGACCGCCAGGCCGCCCTTCCCGGTCCTCCTCCTAACACGCGAGGGCCCCGGGCCTCTGCTCAGAGCCACCATGGCGCCCAGCGCCTGCGGAAGGACGTCTGGCTGCCCTACCTGGCCAAGACCCTGCAGGGCCCAGGCCCCACTGACCGCCCCGTCACCCCGCCCTCCAGCGGCATCTGGCTGCAATGGGGGGGTGGCAGGAGGTCTCTGAGCCCCTCCGCCATCACTGCTGGGCCAGGCTCAGCCCATGACCCCGTCAACCTCACAGGGAGCACGCAGCCGTCGCCACCAAAGGCTCAAGGAGCGCAGGGCCCTGGCCCAAGGCCACGCGGCTGAGCAGCGCGGCCGGGACAGGGAGTCCACCTCCACACCAGGCAGCCCCCCGCCCGCTCAGGTCACATCCTGACCCCAGCAGAGACCCCACAGCCCATGAGGACAGAGCTGAGAGCCGGTGGGCCCGGCAGACTCAGCCGGGGGCTCCCACCCCCATGGGGACCCAGGGGTCCTGAGGCCACCTGTCACCGGCTGGGGGAGTGTCGGTGCTTTGCTGTCGCAGGGGGCCCTGAGGCGAGACCACCATGGTGGGCTCCGCGGTGGCTGCAGACCCCACAGAAGACACGGCTGTGACCCGGCGTGCCAGGCTGGGAGGCTGAGCCCTGGGAGGGAAGGGGACTGCAGTCCAGGGCGCTGGGCTGGCGCCACCAAGGACGCAGGTCTGGGCTGCGAGGAAGCTCTGCTCCCTCAGGCCTGCTCCACGTGACCGTGGCCCCCTCACCCAGGGTTGGGCAGGGCGGTACCCGGCTCCCTTGCTGGACGCCAGGAACGCGGCCCACAGCGGCCCAGCTGGCCTCCACCTCAAAGGTCAAACTCACAGATCTAGACCGCAATCCCCAGGAAGGGGTGCGGTTTGCAGAGACCCCGCCCTGTCCTGGCTCCTGGAAGGCTCGCGTCAGCCTGTCTGCGGAGCCAGGCCAGGAAGCAGCCAGTAGGCCCATCCCAGAGGGCCCAGGCCGGGCCCAGAGAGGCAGCAAGCGCCCGAGGCCACAGGCCGGTCCACGTGGCGGCAGAGGTGGACGGTGGCTGAGACCTCTGTGCTACCCAGGAGCTTAGGGCCGGACAGGACACGGAGCCCAGGCCACGGGTCAGTTTCTTTATTGAGGCGCCCCAGACCCCGCAGAGCGGGCAGCGTGGGTCCCACCCCACCCGCGGGCAAGGGTCTTGCAGCGCCGCCAAGCGGCTACTCGGGGGTCCTGCTCCGGCTCTTGGGGGACCAGATGCTGGACAAGCGGAACCTGGGCTTCCTCCTCTGCTCCTCGCCGTTCCTCTGCAGGTCTGGGGGTGAACCCAGGGGCCTCGCTCGCCCACCTGGAGGCCGGCTCCCCACGGCCTCCCACTCGCGGGGCCTCCTGGGGCCCCAGCAGAGCCCACCCGCCGCCCTCCCCAGGGGGACACGCCAAGAGCCTGCCCCGAGAGCACCCGCCTGGCTGGGCACATCTGGGGGACGAGGCCTCCCCTCGCCGCGACCTCGGGGCCCCTCAAGCCTGGGGGACGCACTCCCTCGCGGTGAGCCTTCCTGACCCCGCGCGCGCCCCGCCCCCCGCGCCGGCGCCCCCAGTCACCCAGCTTCTGGATCATGCTCTGCAGCACCTCGTCCTCCTCCTGCTCCCTGAAACGGAGCGGCCGTGAGGGCACGCGGCGGGGGTGCGGGCCCCCCCACACCGCCCGACCTCACCAGCCTCTGACCACATGCCCGCGGGCCACACCACGGAACAACCCTCTCCCGCCCGGCGCAGGTCCCTGCCTCTTGGCCCCGAAGGACCTGGGACAGTGACCCGGGGCCGGAAGGGCCAGGATGCACCAGGGGCCTCACTGGGGAAGACCCTGGGAGCCGGGCTGCCTGGCAGCCTCGGGCCCCACCTGCAAAATGCACAGGGTGGGCCTCCTCCGGCTGATCAGTAGGGGAGGTCCTGAGCCCCCCCTACCCGGACCCCCCTCACCTGGACCCCCTGGACACCTCACCTGAGCCGGTCCTCATCCAGGAAGTCGATGATGTCGCTGCGGTTGTTGACCGTGTCCACGTACTGGTCCAGCAAATCCTGCTCCCGCTGCCGGTCCTGAGGGGACTTCAGACCCTCTGCAGGGACAGCTGGTGTCAGCGGAGCGCTGCTGTCCCCACTCCCCAAGGGCCAGGCTCCTCCCCCGGTGGAGAACGGGGGTCCCCAGGCCCGTGAGGGGCAGCTCTGGCTGAGGGAGTGAGTGAACAGCGCCTGAACGGGAGGCGGGCGCTGTGGGCCCCTCCCAGCTGTCACAGCCACACACACAACACTGCCCGCCCATCCCAGACATGGCAGATTCGGGGTGCACACAGCGGGCGGGCGGGCCTGCCAGGACCCGGGCCCCCAGCCCAGCACTCAGCCGCGGGGACCACGCTGCCAACAGACTCTCGTCAGCTGCTCCCTGCACGCCCTGCACAACCCTCACCGCTGCCGCAGGAGGGGTGCTAGAACTACCCCCACTTTCCAGGAATGAAACCCAGGCACAGAGAGGTTGAGAGCTCAGCCAGGCAGCCAGCCCAAGGGCCTGGGGAAGCCTGCACCCGAGCCCCTCAGCCCCACCCCAGCCCCGCCGGCCCCGCCCCAGCCCCTGGCTGGGCGCACCTGGTTTGGCCATCAGCCGGCGCAGCTCCCCCTCGAGGTCCAGCTGCCGCTCCTCCAGGCGCTGGGCCCTGGCCCTGCCGAGGGGGTGTGGCTGTGAGCCCGCCGCCCGCGAGCACGCACGCGAGCACGCCGTGTGCATGCCTGTGTGTGTACCCATGCACGTGCACGGAGAAGGCCCGTCCAGGGGGCCACGGCCAGACACTCACTTGTACATCAGCTCTGACTCCAGCCTCAGCAGCAGCTGCTTCTCGTGGACGAGCCGGAACCAGTCCACCATGAGGGCATCCTCCGAGTCATCTACGGAGAGGAGCGGGGTGGGTGTGGGCGGGCCGAGGGGCCCAGGGCCATGCTGCCCGAGACCAGGCCAGGGTGCTGGGCGGGGAGGGGAGGCCTGACCGGGGGAGGAAAAGGGGGGCCCAACCCGGGCTGTGGGGGCGCTCACCCCCCTCAGCCGCTCGCAGACGCTTCTCCAGCTCCACGCCCCGGAGCTCCAGGGCGTCCAGCTGCCTCTCGATGTCCTGCACCTGACGCTGGATCTCGGGCGGCACGTAGTCAGTGTGCAGCTGGGGACGAGGCGGTGGTGAGAGGTGGGGGGTGGCCGTGGGCCCGGGGCTGCGCTCCTCACCCACCCGCACCCCAGCCCACTCACCCCGACCGGGGAGGTTGCTGACTTGGCAGGTGGAGCGGCTACGCTGGCTGGGCCCGGGGGCCTCCCTGGGGAAGGGGCAGGACAAGCCTTTTCAGGAACCAGGCCCAGTGTGACCCAGACGTGGTCTGGAGAGGGCCCACCCAGCTCTGCCCCCCAGAATGCCCTGGCATCCTGGTATGCCTGCCAGGCCCAGCAGCCCCTGCTGGTGCCCAAAGGGTGCGAGCTGGCAGACACATCCTGGGAGACACCGTGCCCACCCAGGCCCTGCCCTCCTCCAGGACAGCAAGGACACCCTGCCAGCACCCCAGCCGTCCTTCCCGTGAGATGCTGGGAGCAAACGCCCCATCGCCGCCAGGGTGGCTCAGGCTCCAAGAGGAAGGCAGGGCCTGTATCCCGTCCGGCTGTCCCTACATGTGGGAAGGGCCTGGGGCCCAGCCCAGACCCTCCAGACACCCAGCCCCACCTCAGATATACAGAACCCAGCCACCTCCGGGTGTGCTCGAGCCTGCTGGCACTGGAGGCCTGTCTTCCTCCATTCTGGGCTCCACGAGCTCCTATGCACCCTCCAAAGCCCCATGGGGCACGTTCTCTAAAGGAGCCCCCTCCAGCTGCCACCCCAAGCAGGAATGCGGTGTGCCCTGGACTCACCTGGTTTGCCTTGGGGAGGGCCTTTCTCCTCCTCCTTCTGGCTCCGGGCAGGGCCTTCCTTCCTCGATGGTTCAAGCTGCAGCCAGTCGCCAGAAATATCCAGGCTAGCTGGGACGGCCAGCTTCTTGAGAGGGGATGCAGACGCAGACGTGGCTGCCCACGGGGGGGACAAGCCATGTGTCAGGCCAGTAGGTCCGGGCCGTCCCCCTCCTGCTTTCCTGAGCTGGGCCCCATTGGAGGGGCACCCACACAGGTGTCAGGCCACGATCCATGTCTGCCTGGCTGGCCACATCCCCAGGAGGGGAAGGGGACAGAAGGCTGACCCTTGAGAGCACCGGGGACCTGCTTTGGGGAGGCAGAGCGCGGCTGGGAGCAGACATGCACAGTCACACCTCACACATGCACGCACGCCTGCCGGGACCACCGGCTCCTCTGCCCCCGGGGAAAGGGCCTGCTACACCGGGGCTGCCTGGCTAAGGAGGGTCGGGGGCCTCCGGCCAGCAGTACCTGGGAGGCTGGCCCCGGGGCCGGCTGCGCCCGGCGTCCTGTCCACCCGCACGGAGGTCACCGTGATACGGACGCCCCTCTCGGAGCTCCCGGAGGCCTTCCCGGCTGCGTCGCCTGCCCGTGGCTCTCCCAGGACCCGAGGCTCCTTTGGCTCTGGGGCCCTGGGCAGAGAGGCAGGAGGTCAGTGGAGGGAGACAGGCCTCCCTGCACGCCCCATGCAGACCAGCCCGGAGCACACGTGCCAGCTCCCGGCCCCAACGGTCTCACCTCCTGGACCACAGGTGCACACGGCCGACACACACACGGGCCCCCTGGAGCATGTATGAGGGCGGGTCCCCGTGGCTCACACAGGCGGCCGTCCCGCACCGCGGACCTGGAGTGGCCCTCTCACCCTCCCCGCCCCTCTCTGCCAAGCCTGCGGTGAGTGGGGGTCCCGGCTGGGCTCTGGGGTCAGCCCTGGGGGGACGCACATCAGGTGCTCTCATTCCCCAGGGCCTCCAGGCTGGTTCAGTGAGGATCCAAGGGCTGGGGGACCCTCCCTGGAGCAGTCTGATCCCCTTGAGTCCAGCAGCCCGAGGGCACGTGGCCTGTCCACGCAGGCTTCTGCTTCCACAGCTGACCCGCACGGGCCGACGGCACACGGCCCTGCCGTGGGTGCCAAGTGGCTGCCGTATGGCTGGCCTGTGAGAAGCAGGTGCCGTGTGCCCACCCTGGCTGCAGGCAGGGGTGCTGGGCGCCCCCGGGGAGTCCGCCGCACGCACCTGTCCGCGGGGCTCTTCTTCTCCACGGGCTTCAGGCGGGCCCTCCACCCCGCCGGCCGGTCCTCTGGGCCGTCCTGGGGGCTGGCGCCCGGGCCTGGGTGGGAGCGAGTGCGCTGCTGGGAAAGGCTGCCCCTCCCCCTCCTCCCACGGCCCACCTTCGGTGCCCCCGCAGCCAGCCTGGCTCCTGGGAAGGGGCGCTGAGTTGGGCACAGGACTCCCCCGATGCTGTGTGCCTGGGGGGTCCCTGCCCGCTTCTGTTGCCAAACAGGGCATGTGAGCCCTGGGGACCCCGCGTGGGTGTGGGGTGACCGTCTACAGCCTCTTCAGCTCTGGGCAGAGTGGCCTTCAGGCCGGGGGCTCAACCACGAATGAGTGGGAAGAATGCTTTGGGTCCTGCGTTCTCTGACCCGCCCAGTGACCCCACGGTGCCCTCGGGGGCAGCCCCGGAACCCAGAAAAAGCCAGGTCCACAGTCCTGCAGCAAAGTGTCCGCAACACTGGCCCTGGAACACGAGGCCCGGGCAGTCCAGGGGCCTCGGGGCCTTCAGAGAACAGGGCCCCCGTGGCCAGTTCGGGGCAGTGATGAGGGACACAGGCCGTGGGCGCACCCCCCACAGGAGGGGGACCCTGCCGGGCACTGTCACCACAGAGCGGCGGGGCGGGTGGGCTGGGACAGCAGGTGACCGCCCCCCAGACGGGCCCCCAGGAGCCGGGCTGTGAAACAAGACCGCGGGCCGGGAACAGAGCGGCTGGCTGGGCGCGGGGACCCTGGGGACCCCACCACCCCCACAGCCCGGCCCTTGCCCCGCCCACATCTTACCCTTGGCCAGCGGGGCCTCCGGCTTCAGCCGGGAGCCAGCACCAGCTCCGACGGCCCCTGAGGAGACAGCTGGGCCCTTCTTGGCCTCCTGGGACGACTGTGAGGAGCTGCCCACACCTGGGGCGGTGGGCGGCCCCGTCCTCGCGGCGGGGCTGAGGGTCTGTGGGGACGTGGGCTGTGACACCCTGGCTGGTGGACTGGCTCCGGGCCCCTCGAATCTGGGATGGGAGCTGGGAGCGGGGACAGTGGCGGTGGGGGACCTGTGGGGGGGCACGGGTGTCAGCAGGGGTGGGAGCCCCCTCGACCCCCAGGCAGTAAGCAGCCCCTCATCTCCCTGAGACGCTTCCCGAGGCCCACCCTCCTGAGGGCCGCCACGGGTGTGGGCATCGCATCTGGCCCTGGCACGCGTCACCCTCCTCTGAGCTCTGGGGTCGGCTGGCACTGAACACCCCCCGAGGCACCACGTGCAGGGTGTGGGGGAGGGCAGCACCAAGACCTCCCTCCCTGACCCCCCGGCCTGCCTGGAGCAGCCAGGCCTGCACCGTGGAGTCTGCGCTCCATCCTGAGTGACACGCACGAGGCCTGCCCACGGCCACCGCGTCCCCGGGGGCGCAATCGGGCAGGAAGTGGGGCTTGGGCGCCTCAGGCAAGGCAGTTCTCTCCCCCAGCTCCCCCAGACAGGGCTCCCCGCAGGGGAGCTCCCCCGGGGAGCACTCACACAGCCACAGCCCCCGACAGCTCTGGACGCCCCTCAGCGCTGTGGCCGCAGGGGGTCTGCCTGCCCGTGCCCACCCTGGGAGGCCCCGGCACCCGCCGGCATCAGCAGCTCCGAGCCAGGAGCGCCCCCCACGGGAGGGGCAGCTCTGGGCAGTGGGTGCAGCCTTGTCACCGGAATGGTGTGGACCCTCCAGCGGTGTACCGGGCGCCACAGTGTCCCCCATTTTCCCGTCCCCCCCGGGGCTCCAGGCATGACCTTATTTGGAAACAGGCTCTTTGCAGGTGAGATCAAGCTAGGACTTGCTCATCCTGGATGGGGGGGGCCCTGACGCCAAAGACAAGAGGGAAAAGGAGAGGAGAGGACAGACAGACAGACAGCAGCCCGTGAAGACAGCAGAGACGAGCCGGGGGCCACGAGCGCCCCGCGAGCCTGCGTTGGGGCGCGGCCCTGCCCACCTCTGGAGCTCGGACCCAGGGCCTCCAGCTCTGTGAAGGAACAACGCCTGCGGTTGCAGCCACCCAGGCCCTGCTTGTCCAGCAGCCCCAGGATGTGAGCGCAGAGACCTGCCTCTACCCACCACCCCCTGCCCTGGGTCCCCACGCACCGAAGGTGCTGGGCCGTGCTCAGCCCCGCCGACACTCAGACCACCCATGGCCCTGCTTCCTCATCTGTGCACAGCGTCCTCACGGCGGACTGAGCGTGGCCAGGCGCCCCGCACACACGCAGCCAGCTCTACAGGGCCAGCCGCGGACCCTGCCTGTGGCCACCAGGCTCTCCGTGGTTGGCTCAGGCTCCACACCCCCCGGTCGGGAAACAAGCTGGGGACGGGCAGCCCCGGTGCCACACGCCAGGCAGGGCCAGAGCCCCGAGCACCTCCCTGGCTGCCCCAACCCCGCCGGGCCCCAGGCCCCTCCTGCACCCACCTGCCGGGTGCCCCGAGCTCCGGGAGGGCCTTGCGGAGGAAGCTCAGCGCCTGCTCCCTGCGGCTGTCCCCGGAAGGCGCGTCTGCAGTAGCCGGGCCAGGGCCAGGGGTGCCTCCAGGGGTCTGGAAGAACCGCTCCCGGGCCTGCTGGGTCTTTGAGGACGACGGGGTCCAGGCCAGGGTGCTTGCAGGTACCGGAGATGCTGGCCTGGAACTGAGCTTGGTCTGGGGGGCTGTGACTCGGGGCGTGGCCCAGCCTTGCGGTGTGGCCGGGCAAGGGTCTGGGGCACATGAGGTCCCGGTGGGCCGGGGGCTGCCTGCTGGTGATGGCCATATCGTCAGGGAGCTGCTGGTCACGTGAGTGCTGGGTTTACCCCCCACAGGGCCCGCCATGAGCCTGGGTGCAGCTGGGCTCCCTGCGGGGACTCGGGATGAGGCAGGGGCCGGCGGGTTGGTTGCAGCTGGAGCGGAACCTCTGGCAGAAGCACTGCCTGCCGCAGGGTCCCCGCCAGGCAGCCTGGCCTTTGGCCCCGTGTCTCTCTGTCCGCTCGCCTCCTGCGTCTTCCTCAGGCCTCCAGGGGTCTCTGAGTCCGTGGACGTGGCTCCAGGCCACCTGGAGGCCAGGCTGGGCGATGTGGGGCTGGCAGAGGCGGTTTCGGGGCGATGGCTGGAGCAGATGAACACGCCGGGCTCTCCTGTGGCCCTGTAGGCCCCTGAGTGCAGCGTGCCGGAGCACTGCTTACACCTGGGGGGTGGGCGGGGAGACCAGGGGAGGCTCCAACCACATACGTGTTCATTCCTTCCTCCCCAGAGCACACACACGTGCATCCCGTGTCCCCTCGTGTGCCTGGCGAGTCACTCAACACCCCATCCCCTAATCATTTTTTTTCCCCCTAATCATTTTGAGGTAGTCTCCCCCAAGGCCCTCAGGGTTGTGGACACCCTGGGAAGTGCCCATACCTGTCAGCACACACACGGATGTACATGTGCACACAGGCACTCACACACACGCACGCACACACAACTGCACACGCACACACAAATGCATGAACATGCACTCACAAGTGCACACGCTCACAAGTGCACACACAGGAGTGCATGCATACGCACAGACACGAGTGAGCGCACACACGAGTGCATGCACACACAGCGTACATGCGCTCACAAGTGCACACAGAGTGCACGCGCTCACAGCATGCACACGCTCACAAGTGCACACGCTCACGAGTGCACACACACGAGTGCATGCACACGCACATAGACATGAGTGAATGCACACACGAGTACACGCGCACACAGCATGCACATGCTCACAAGTGCACACGCTCACGAGTGCACACGCTCACGAGTGCACACAGAGTGCATGCACACGCACATAGACACGAGTGAACGCACACACGAGTGCACGCGCACACAGCATGCACACGCTCACAAGTGCACACGCTCATGAGTGCACACACGAGTGCATGCACACGCACATAGACACGAGTGAACGCACACACGAGTGCACGCGCACACAGCATGCACACGCTCACAAGTGCACACGCTCATGAGTGCACACGCTCACGAGTGCACACAGAGTGCATGCACACGCACATAGACACGAGTGAACGCACACACGAGTGCACGCGCACACAGCATGCACACGCTCACGAGTGCACACAGGAGTGCATGCACACGCACACAGACACGAGTGAACGCACACACGAGTGCACGCGCACACAGCATGCACACGCTCAAGAGCACACACGCACACAGCACGCGCGCGCCCACCTGAAGCAGCCGCGGTGGTACAGCCTCCCGTCCGCCAGGTGGCGCTGCACGAGGTGCACGTGCTGCCCGCAGACGCCGCAGGAGCTGCTGCGGGAGCCCCCCGCGGCCTGGCCCTGGGGGGTGGGCACTACTGAGCTGCCTCTGGCGCCCCCTCACACCCAGCCTGGCCCAACGGGAGGGGGGCTGGGGCTGATGCTGGGGGCCCCTGAGGACCAGGACAGTTTCCAACACCTCCCGTTCCCACCCCAAGGTGCAGAAAGCCAACCCCACGCCCAGCGCCCCGGGCGGGGAAGCCTGGAGTGACCGCCTACCCCGTCCTGTCTCCACCTCACCTTGCAGGGCCAGCCTGGGAGCAAAGGACACGCTGTGCGTCCTCCGGGCCCGCCGGGCGGGGGAGGGGCTGGGGCAAAGCAGCTGCTTGCAGCCTGCTGGGCCTGCGGGGCCTCCCTGGCCTCTGTTAACCCGTCTGTACAGTGGGCATCACACCCCCACCATCACACAGCATTGAAGGAGCTCAGAGGGCCAGTCTTGCGGGCAGCTGGGGCCACGTCTGGGCCCCAGGGGGACTGCCCCACCCCAGGCGCACTCAGGCCCCAGAGCCCTGCTCGGGGGAAGCTGACAGAGAACCCCTGAACCAGAGGGAGGGGTGGGGCGCTTACAGCCTTCCGCGGGGGGCCCTCCGAGCCCCCATCCTTCTGCTGGACGGTGCGGTTTAGGCTGACTGGAGATAGCGGCTGTCCCCGGGCAGGGACGGATGCAGGCTGGGCGGGCTGGGATGGGGCCTTCTTTCCAGACGGCTCCTCACTGGTGTTGGACGAGGGCCTTTTGACACCGGCCGTGTGCCCAGCTGGCATGAGACGCAGGGTCAGGGCCCAGGCCCCACACGCTGGCTCTGAGAGTCCAGGCCCATTCCCCCCCCATGCGGGTTCCCTGGAGGTGCCAGTGCCAGCTCGGGAGCTGGAGTGGGGGGCAGGGGCAGGGGCCGGGGTAGGGGGTGGCCCCAGTGGCTTCCACTCCCAGCAGGGCCTGGCCTCCCCCGCTCCCAAGAGCCCTGCTCTGCGGTCAGGGAATAGGGACTTTCTGCTTCCCCAAGTGGGGCTCTAGGGCAGGCTGGCCCCGAGCCCAGAGCGATCTGGGGATTTCTGAGCCCGAGTGAGGCTAGGCGAGGCGGGAGGCGGGGGTACTGCTGCACGAAGTGTCTGGAGTGACGGCCCCCCGGCCAGCCCCGCCCTGTCCAGCCTGCTCGCAGCCGCACGCTGCCAGGGCCAGCTGACCGTCAGCACCAAATGGGGGGTCTCCGCGTCAGGCCTGACAGCCTACGTGGGGTCGGCCCCGCTGCCTGAGGCAAGAGCTGTGGGCACAGACCCCAGGGGTGCAGACAGGCAGATCCAGGCCCGGAGGGGAATGGGGGAGCTGGGTGTGTCTGCCCACGGACAGGGAGGTGCATGGCTGAGCCTGTGTCCATGGGGGTCACCTGCAGGCCCGGGGCGGGGCCTCACCAGGGGCGTGCCTCTGGAAGTAGTTATAGTATTGGGACACGTAGGTCAGGATGCTCAGCCGGTCGGGCACCTTCAGGGCCACCATGTCCTCGGCGTCCAGCAGGGCCGGGATGCCCAGCTGCTCCTCCGCCACACGGAAGGCCTGAGGGAGGGCGGCGGTCAGCGGGGGGGCGCCGGGAGGCCCCAACCCTCCTCGGCCAGACCACCAGCTCCCCCTGGAGAGGGAGGGGCTCGAGGCAGCAGAACCGCCTGGAGCCCAGAAAGGTCTGGTTCCTGTTCGCGGTCTGCTCGGCCTGTGTGGGCTGCCTGGCCTCAGTTTACCCTTCTGTACAACGGGGTTTGCACCCCAACGACAGGATTGAAGGAGCCGGGGGCTGGTCCGGGCCCTGGTCCTCAGGGACTCCAGCCCATCACCGTGGCCCCACCGGCGAACCTGTGCGCCCCAGGCTGGCACGGGCCTTACAGGTCAGGGGGCAGCTTTCTCCATGGGAGAAGCCCTCCCCAGGCCAACGGGGCCCCGTGTCCTAGGAGCCAAGGCCAGGGGCGGCGGGAGGGGCTCCCCACTGGCCGCGGCCTCTGCGCCTCCCCGCCCGTGCCCGGCTCTGCGCTGTGAGGGCTCTTCCGGCCTCCCCTCCTGCCTCCCCCCTCCTGCCGGCCCAGTGGGCTCCCGCCTTTGCGTTCCAGTCCCCCCTAAACTACCATGACTCCCCCAATCTCTGTGCATCCAAGAGGCTCCTGGGCCCGCAGACTTGCAGCCCCCCAGCAGTGACGGCCCCTCCACGCCAGATACAGAGGCCTCCCACCGCCTCTAACTCCTTCAACACACAGGCGGGATCTGGCTCCTCTGGCTGCCCCCCGCCCTGCACAGACCCTGTGGCACCAGGGGCAGCTCCCAGAACAAGAGGCTTCAGAGAAGAAGCCAAGCTCTCCCCACACCCCCGGCTGCCCGCGGCTCCAGGCTCCTCCCTGCTCCAGCCTCCTCTCCAGCTCTGTTCCGGACTTCCGCCTCAGTGCCAGCCTCCCCCTCCGCCCCGGCCTCCTCTTTCTTTTCCAGCCTCCTCCCTCGTCCCACTCCAAGCATCCACGCGTGGCTGGCTGGTGAGGGTCTGAAACGTGGCCAGTGCCACTGAGAAACTGAAAACAACATTTCATTTCATCTCAATTAAGTTATGTTTAAACTCCCATCGCCCACGCCGAGCCGCGGCCGCACCCGGCCGGGCCTGCAAGGGAACGTGGGGACACAGGCAGGCACGCTAGGCCGTCGGCGGGCAGTCAAGAGCTCGCTGAGCAGCAGAGAAGCTGAGGCCAGCCTGGAGCGGTCCATGGTGGGAGGGCCAGGCAGCACTTGAGGCCATTAGCCTGAGAGCAGGCCCGTCCCAGGACCCGCGGAGCCCTGCCCGGACCGCTCCCCCTGGCTCTGCTGTGGGTGGGAAGGAGGGTCCAAGAAGACGGACTGGGAAGGCCTGGCTGCAAGATCAGGGGCTGCTCTGGGAGCGGGGGTCACCCCGCGTGGGCCGGCCCTTCCCCGACCGCCTGCAGGCAGCGGCGACCCTGAAGCAGGCCCTGGGGATGTCACTCCACGAGGGTCCCTGGGACACAGGCCCGGGAGGCACCAGCGGGCACTCACCAGTTTGTTGTTCTCATAAACGTTTTCCTTCCTGAGAGCATCGAAGTTTCTGGAAAATAAGAACACTGGTGTTCAAAGCAGCTCAGGGTCCAAGAAAGGGAGGGGCCAGAAGGGCCTGGGGGGAGGGGAAACTGAGGCCAGTGTGGGGGCCAGGAAGGAACCAGGTCACACGGCAACCGTGAGGAGGGCAGGGCTGGGCAGCAGGCTGCAGGCTCCGGCCCCGCTCTGGCCCAGGGAGGCCGTCCAGCGCTTCCGCCGACCTGGGCCCCCGCGGCCCATACAGGCCCCCAGCTGCAGCCTTCACCTCTCGCCCTGTGGAGGACGAGCCCCGAGCACCACGCCGCCTGTTAGGTGTGGCTGGAAGCAGGCCCCGGGTGGCAGAGTGGTCAGCCTGGCCAGGCCCCCGCTCAGGGAAGGCAGCCCCCCAGCAGGCAGCTGACAGGCCTGTGGGTCCCAAGAGGCCAGCATCCCAAGCGAGTGGACCCACAGACAGAGGTGCGCACGGCCCAGTGGTCAGGGCAGGCCAGGCACCGCGCCAGCTCCGGGCTCCCTCACTCCCTGTATGAACCCAGCGCCGCCTGAGCACTGCTGTCCTCGGCTCCGTACAAACACTGCCCCGCACCTGCAGGCTCTGTCCACGCCCCCCTCACAGACAGGGAGGTGGCACAGAGAGCCTCCGTAACACGCCCGAGGCCACACAGCAGGACGACAGGACCAGAGCAGGGTCAAGGCCCCAGAGTCCTGGCATTTGAGGTTTAAGCGTGCCCACCAGTGCCTGGCCGTCCTCCTAAGGGGGGGCAGACCCTCCAGGCTGAGAATGTCAGAGCCCCCACGCCCACCCCCACCCTGCACTTTCCCGAAAGTGTGCAGGGGCCCCAGGCCCGGCCTGGAGAAGCACAGAGGTCGCTCCGGAAGGGGGAGAAGCCTAGCACCGGCTCCAGGCGGGCCCTGGGACTCCGCATAGCACCACATGGCAACCCCGGGAGGAAGGTCTGGGCAGAAGACGCAGCCGGGCCCCAGCAGGCAGCCTGGACGCTCAGCTGGGCGGCCCAATGCCTCCGGGAGGCCTGGTCACATACGGGTCCATCTGTCTGTCCACGTGCTGGGCGGCAGCCTTGCCACTTTGGGGTGAACTGCTCCGGAAGCCTCGGGGCACAGCAGAGAGCTGAGCGCTGCACCCCAGTGCTGCCCGAGCCGGGCAGGGCCCTCTTGTCTTGGGGCCCCACCTAAGAGGGCGACCACAGCTGCTGACGGCCACAGCGCCGGCTCGAAGCTGGGAGGGTCACAAACGGAGTGGAGACCCCGCAGCCACCTGGCCCGGGAGGCCCTGGCTCCCAGCCCTGACTGTGCACAGACCCCCTGACCCCTGACATCCCGGGGAGGCCGAGCACCCAGGTGAGGAAACTGAGGCGGCCCTGGGCCACAGGTCGGGAGGGGCCCCCAGGCTTCCGGCTGTTCATTGCCCTGCCCGGCTCCTTGGGACCCTCCCGGTCTCCGCCTGGACCCCCACCTCCAAGGTAACGTGTCCCAGATGTGAGACCACCCGGGAGAACAGAGGTGCTTTGTGCGGACAGGGCGGCCGGCAGACCTGTCTGCGGGGACAAATGACGGCGGGGCGGGAAGGTGGGCGTGGCGGCCTGGCCTCCCCTCCCCCACCGTCCGTGGCCCGAGGACTGGCCGGGCTCCGTCCATCACCCGGGGACTCCCGGCCAAGCTGGCCCTTCTGACCTCAGCATCTGGGGGCTCGGGAGCACCCCCTCCCCGCCGCCCCCAACCATCCCTTTGAAAGCCCAATCTCTTCTCCAGACCTGCCCTGGGTCACTGACCAAAACGGCCGTGTCCTCAGCAAGATGGTCGGCGCTGCAGGGCAGGATAACAAGGTCTGTTTTGTCTCCAAACAAGCAGAAGGAAGCCCTCTGCCCCCTGCGGTGGCCTCGGTCCACCCAGGGGGCTGCAGAGGCTCCGTCCTGCGGGGAGGGCAGCCAGCTGCTCGCAGGACCCTGTCCGCCTGCAGACCCAGAGTGAGCGTCTCAGAGCCCAGAGCAGGTCGAGGCACCCACGACTGGGGCCAGCTCCGCGAGCAGGCTCAAGGTGTGCCAGCCAGAGCGTGCAGAACCGCCCTTCCACTCATGGTGCAGGCCACCACCCTCAGCACCAAAGCCAACCTGCCTCCTGAAGGTGCCTTGGCTGGGCCAGACCACCCTGGTCAGGCCCACAGCGACCATGCCCCACCCAGACCCGGTTCTCTCCAAACTCCCTGTCTCCTGCCTCCGGGCCTTGGCTCACGCTGTTCCCTGCATGCAGAGCGCCCCTTCCCATCTCCCGGAACCTGAGCTCACAGCTCCCTCAGCAGAGGGTTCGGCCAGCATCGCCCTGGTCCAGCGGGGTGGTGGAAACAGCCAGAGTCAGAGAGGTCTCGCAAACCCTTTCAGAGAGCGCCAAGGAGCGCCCACCCCAGGGCGCCAGCGAATCCCCTGAGATGGGCAGAATTATCCTCCTCAAGGGGCCCTTTGGAGCCCTAACCCCCACGACTTCAGGACGTGACCCTGCTGGGAAGCAGAGATTTCACAGAGAGAATCAAGGTAAGTCAGCGGGGGCCCTAACCCAAAACGCCTGGCGCCCTTCTAAACGGGAAACGTGGTCCAAGAGAGGTGCAGAGTGAAGGCTCGGGGAGCAGACCGCATCCGCATGTCCAGGGCGGAGGCCCAGAGGGAACTGGCCCTGCAGACAGCCGCCTGGGGCTCCTGGACGGGCCGGTGGGGCGGCTTCCTTCTGTGTCTCAGCCACCATTGGCAGGACCTTGTCCAACAGACCCTGCGGGCTGATCCCTTGGTCTGACTCAGGGAGGCCCATCGCCAGCTTGTGTTTCGGTTTAAGGCCTGGAGGGGTCAGAACCTGCATACTTGTGGGCGGGGACCCGGAGCACCACCCCCCTGCCCAGGTAAATCAGACATGTTCCCGGACTTTCCCATCGGTGCACTGGTTAGGACTCTGTGCTTCCCCTGGGGGTGGGGGTGGGGACACTGGTTTAATCCCTGGTTGGGGAATAAGATACCACAAGCCACTTGGTGTGACCAAAAATAAAAATAAAATAACCACAGCAACGATAAAATCATGGATGTTCTGTTACGACTCCAAGGCACACAGCTGGCGCTCCACAAACGCCACTGACGAGCTCCTCTGTCCAGTGCCGGCTGAGCGAGCAGCCCCGGCGGCATCTGTTCACTGTTGCAACACTGGCCGAATGAATGAACTCGCTGGGTCTGCGTGCCCTGCCCTGGCTGGCGCCCAGCCTGGCCGAGTGCCTGGGCACGCACAGCCCCTGCCGGCCTGCCCCCCGTGGCCACAGCTGAGCAGGGCTGCTGACCTCCAACGCCCCGGGGGCTCTTGGGAGGGTGTACCCTCTTCCAAATTCTTGGAGGGCTGACCTCACACTGTTTATTTCCTGGAACTAAAAGCAGCTGCGTGGGGGTGGGCTCTGGGGCTGGGGTGGGGGGTGGGGAATGCCAGAAGCAGAGCTTTTTTCCAGGTGACCCCAGCACATCTGGGGTTAATCCCACGGGGAAGGGGAGCAGGAAGCAGAGGGGGGGACAGACGGACAGACAGGCCGAGACACAGACGGAGGGACACGTGGGCACCAAAGCATCAGGGAAGAGACGGGAGAGGCCATGGGGCAGAAGAGAGTGTTGGGGCGGGGGGAGCTGGTTTGGGGCCAGAGACACCAAGGCAGATGCCCCAGAAGAGGCCAGGGGAGGGCGGACGGAGCTGGGGGACCGGGGTGAGGCGGGGTGTGGTCCCCACGCGTGGAGCTGGGTCCTAGGACGCCCTACTGCTTGCCGTCCAGCTGCAGGTCTCCCCCAAGCCGGAGCAGACCGACCCCCACCTGAGCAGACGCAGCCAAGAGGGGTCAGCCTGGGGTCCTGCAGCAGCGGACTGGGGAGTCGGGGGGCGGGGGTTCAGACCCGAGCCTCTTCCCACAGGCACCCTAAAGAGCCGGCCGGAAGGTGGCAATGGGGCCGGGGCCGGGCTGCAGCCCTCAGGCCAGAGCCAGGGCCGGGTCCCCAGGTGGCTTCCTGCTGAGCACAAGGGGGTGGGCTCCAGTGGCCTGCCCGCCCCAAAGGCCCTGGAGAAGGAAGCCCTGCCTCTGGGAAGGGCTCCGCCCTGGCACCATGCCTGCCCGCCCGCCTTCCTGCTGGCCTCCTGGAGCCTTGGTCCCTCCAGGTCCAGCCCCACAGGTTTACTGCCTCGAGGCAGAATGGGAGTGTTTACTTTGAGCCGTTCCTGAGCTCACCTGGCTGCCGGGCAGGTGTGGCATCAGTCGGGAAGCAGACCCTGCGGGCAGGCCCCTCCAGGCCCAGCTGTGAAAGCTGCAGCTGCAGAATGGGCTCGGCAGGCGGGCTGGGGGCAGGGACAGACGGCTGGGACTCTGCAGGCCTGCCGGGGCGCCTGCAGGCAACCAGCGCAGGGCACACGGGAGCGCCAGGTCCCGCTGGGCAGCGCCGCCGTGAGGACCCGCTGGCGGGCTCAGCGCCCCCTCCTCCAGAGCTGTGCTCCTCCGCTGGGCGCCAGGAGGAGACAGGCAGCAGGAAGGCCTGAGATGAGATAAAGGGAAGGCCTTCCTGGTGGCAAAGCTAGGAGACGCGGAGACAGGATGTCCACTTTCCTGCAGCTGGGGGGTCTTCACAGGATGGGGAGGGAGGGGGCAAGTGTCACCCAGGTCTGACCAGGGAGGACAGCCACGCTGCCAAGTTCCCACGTGCTTCCTCCCCATCCTGCACCATGGGGCTGGCGGGACGGCTCAGAGCTTCTTGGGGAGGCCACCCCCTTGCCCAGAGGCATGGCCGGAACCAGAGGTGGCGTAGGGGTGTTTAGGGCACAGACAGAGGCCCGTCATGCACGTGGGCCCACGCTCATGGGATCCCACCAGTTAGTAGCTCTGGAGTCCCTTCCAGGCCCCACCATGTACAGGAGCCTGACCCATCGCCCACAGCTGCCGTGATGAACATCCGAAAACAGGGCGGCTGAGAGTAACAGATGTTTACTCCCTTTCACGCTGGAGACCGGAAGTCCAACATCAAGGTGTCGGCAGGGCTGAGCTCCCTGCGGAAGCTCCATGTCCCTCTAGCCTCCGGTGGCCTTCCTCGGCTGCAGCCACATGCCTCCATCCGTGCCTCTGTGGTCACAGGCCGCCTCTGCCCCCGTCTGCTGCTCCCAGGCTCCTGCAGAGCCCTCACCTGGCAACGACAGCCGTTGGCCCCAAGCACCAGCCACATCTGTCGACCTCCAGCTGCGTGCTGTTAGCTACTGGGCGCCTGGCACATGCCAGATATGGTTCCAGGCACTGGGGACACAGCAGTGCACAAAGCAGACATCCCCACCCCCTGGAGCTGAAAGTCCAGTGGGGGCAGGTGACACCAAGCCAGCAGGAAGGGGCTACTCTACCCCTCCTCCTCCCCCCAGCAGCCCCTGCCCCACCCTCACCACCCCCCGGAGCTGCCCGGAGCCTCTGTCCGTGTGTCTGTTTGCTGTCCGTCTCTACATCAGTCCCTGCCTGAGGCAGGGGCCAAGGCCACCTTGCACAGTACGCAGTGCTGAGTATACAGCAGGCACTCAGTAACGGTTATCGGAATGGCTGTAAGACACCAGCTTGCGCCAGGACACAGACACACCCATATGTGCACTCCTGTGCTCACCTGTGAGCAGTGCATGTTGGGACAGGCTTGCGCGCGCGCGCGCGCGCGCACACACACACACACACACACACACACACAAAGGCCTCCAACCCCAGCTCAGCTGAGAACAGATGGGCACTCCCGGGGCTCGGAAAGGCCCCAGATTTCCAGCTACACCCACGCAGTGTCCTGAGGCTGCGGGGCTGGCAGAGGGCCGCACCCGCCGGTTTTTCCGCCAATGGCAGACTCCTCCCACTGACCCCATGTGGGTTTCCTGGGCTCAGTCACCAGCCAGCCTTCCCCAGGACTCTGCCTGCCCCAGCCTCCACGACTAGTCCGTGCCCCAGTCTCCAAGACACCAGCCCATCCCTCAAAGCCCAGCTTCAGCTGTTCAGTGTGGAACACTCACTGCCCTGATATCTGGCTCCAAGGACGACCAAGGCACATCCCCAGGCCGGGGCTGTGAGGAGACAGCATGGCCCACCAGCTCCACACGTGCATTTCACAACCCCCGGCTACAGGAGGAAATCCTTGCGGGCCTCTTTCTTAAGACCAGCTTCCCTCTAGAGGCCCTGGGGACAGTCCCCAGGGATACAGGGGACATCTGTGTGTGGGGGGGGACGGGGCATGTGCCAGCCCTGGTTCTGCCTGACATGCTCTGTGTCCCAAGCAAGGATGCCCCCTCCCCGGGCCTCAGTCTCCTGATCTGAACAGCAGACCCCTGAGGGCGGCACTAACGTGGGAGGTGTAGCCTCAGGCCTCTCCCACCCGCGGGCTCCCTGGAAAACCCGCTCCACCCACCTCTGGCTCCACCCGCGACTTCTCAGGGAGCACTTTGAAACACCCTGCTTCCCCAGAAGGCATTTTCTGAGGACACCCTTCCCAAGCCTCTGTTTGGCCAGCCCAGGCACCCGCCCGGGCAGCTTTACTCATTGTGAATTCTCACGATGCGGGGGGCCAGGGCCTCACGGCACAGAGCTTTGTCCCAGCCAGCTGGGTCCCAGTCCCAACCAAAGAGTGTTTGCTGACTGAGTAACAGATGGAGGGCCCAGAATGGGGACAAGGCTGGCAGCAGGGCAGGGTCCACCTCCCAGCCTCGGCTCCGAGACCTTCCTGGGGGGAGACGACCTAGTCCCCAGGCCTCTCCACCTCCCAAGGCTCCTGCCTCTGGCCCTATCACCCTCTGGTACTGAGGCCTGGCCAGTGGGACCTGGACCGGGCAGTCTCAAGCTTTTGGCTCTGTTGGCCCCTCCCCCACAGTGACCCTGGGCGGCATTCCTAAAGGTGCCTAAACAGGCTCGCGTAGGGGCAGTACCCCACAGTCATTCCCATCAGTAAGGACCCCTGATCTGGTGGCTAGGTCTCAGGACAGTGGGGGGTCTCAGAGGGCCCAGAAGGGCAGCTGTGCCGGCCCTTTCCCAGGGAGACCGGCCAAGAAGGCTGGCTGTGGCCACAGCCCAGGTCGCTGGCCTGAGTCACAGACTGACTAAGCCGGCGGGGGCGGCCGGAGGTCCTGGCTCCGGCCGAGCTCCATTTGGCGGTCGGGCAAACTGAGGCCGCCGGGGGCAGCCTGCGGAGCGTCCCGCCGGGCCGGGAGTCCTGACCGCAGCTCACTGCCCCGCCCCCGGCCCCGGTCTCCCCGGCGGCGCGCGGGCGGCGGGCGCACTCACATGAGGTCCGGCCGGTGGCGGTGCAGGATGGCGCAGAAGGCCAGGCCGTCGCGGAACGACGTGGTCATGTTGGTGATGCTTACGTCCCGGTAGCCCTCGCACTGCTGCCGGCACCACTGCTCCAGGGCCTTGATGGCCGCCATGCGGGCGGCGGCGTCCGCCCGGCCGGGGCCAGAGCTCGGACAGCGCTTCCTGGGGGCCGTCGCCCGGCCCGAGCCCGGGGGGCGGACGAGAACCCCGACCCCGAACGCTGGGAGGACGAGGAGACGCGGCCGAGGAGCCCCGAGAGAGCGAGGAGCCGGCGAGAGCGCGGCCGGAGCCCGCCCGCCTGGCCCTGCCCCCGACGAAGCCCCGCCCCCTACCACGAGGTCCCGCCCACCAGGCCCCACTCCTCCAGTCAGGGTGCGTCTCGGAGAGGCCCCGCCCCCGGGCAGGGCCGGGCCCCGCCCCCGCCTGGCCCTGAAAGGCTTCGGCCCGAGCAAGCCCCGCCCCACAGGCCCCGCCCAGGCCCCGCCAGCCGCTCGCCCCTCCCTCCCGGGGTCCCGCGGAGGCACTTCGACGCTTTTTTTTTTTCCTACCCGCTCCCGCACCCTCCTGGGGCGCGGAGACTGAGGCCTGATCCGGGTGCCGCCAGGCGGGCCGGCCGGTGCCCCCCCCCCACGCCCTCCGGGCGCGCGGCAGGAATGGCCCTTGCATTTCTGGCCTTTGGAAGGACTTTCCGATCCGGCTTGTCTTGCAGGCGGGTCCGTGAACCTTCCGGATTCAAGGAAGAGGCAGCAGAGACCGTGGAAGGGGCGTGGTGTCGTTGGCGGCCCTGCCGGTGGGGCGACGTCCTCCAGGAGTCTCCCTGCCTGAGACCCCTGGGGGGTCTCGGTGTTCTGATCTGTGTCCCAGTTTTCCACTACAAGCATCTGAGACCCAGGTTATTAAGGAAAAGGTCCCCGTGGGGACCTCAGTTACGGGGCTGCTCCCGGCCGTCCGCGTTCTCAGGGAACCCTGTCTGTGTGGAGGACAGCTGGTCAGAAACATTGACACCAGACATGTGCGGTGACCCCGCCCACCCCGCCGGGCCCAGGGCTTGTCCAGACAAGGCCTCCGGAGGGCAGGAAGGAAGGTGTTTTCCCGATAGAGGCCCAGCAAGGGGACTGGGTGGCCTCTGTGCCCACTCGAAGGAATGGAGACGGTCTTCCCGTGCAGAGCCAACTCCTTTCTGCGGCTGGGCCCAGTGGTGGTGAGCTCCCCATCACCAGGGGCAAGCAGATACTAGACAGGGAGCCCCTGTGACCTGAGACCGTGGCCGCTGCCCTGACCTGCTGGGGTTTTCCAGATAGAGGACAAAGGGTTATGTCCTGCCAGCTGGGCTGGGCTGGTGGTTAGTCCTAGAGCCAAGTGGGTTTTCCTGACTCCAGGGCAGAATTTAGAACTGGAAAAGCCAGTGAGGCAGGGGAAGGCCAAGACCACGAAGGGGCGGTCAGGGCTGGATGAGGCTGGGGGCTCAGAAGGAAGAGGGAGGTGACCAGAGCTCTGACTCTTAGGAGTTTAAGCTGCACCCTTGCCCACATGGCTCCCTCTGGGGACAGTGACGTGGAAGGCAGCATGTGTGGGGTGTCCCCTTCAGCATCTCACAGAGAGCGTGTCCTTCCACCAGCTCCGCTCCTCTCCAGCCCCCCAGCCGGGATACCCCCAGTCTGCCCACGCCTCCCAGCTGCGGCCCCTTCCGTCCAGGCCACCAACACCTGGCCCCTGACTGTGGGCCCGTCTCCCTCAGCTCCCTCCCGTCCTCCTGCCCTCTGGCCACCATAGTCCACCCCTCCCCCGCAGCCTAGGGATCCTTCCAGAAAGCCAGCAGAACGAGCCCTTTCCAGCTTGGCCCCAGCAGCACCCAGAGTGAAGTCCTGCCTCTTATCACAGCTCTGGCTGCTCCCTGGCCCCACCCTCCCACGCCCGCCCTGCCCCTCTGGCCTAGAGCCTCTGCCCCAGGGCCCCCTGCACTCGTCAGCTCCTGGGCCTCCCAGCCCCCAGCCAGCCCCGCCCGCAGCCTGCCGATGTGGTCCTGTCCTGCGGCTGGGGCTGCAAGCCTGGGCATGACCCTCGCCTCCTGTCTTCTCCCTGCCCACATCCAGTCCAGCCGGAAGCTGACCATTGCCACCACCTCCACAGCCACCAGCTGCTGCAAGCCTGTGTTTCTCCAGGAATCCAGGAATCATCTTAGCCATGCCTCTGCTTCTGGCGTGGCACCTTCAGTCTCTTCTCAGCACAAAATCTTTGACAGCAGTGGGGGCCAGAACTTGCCCCCCAACTTCTCAAACCCCTCCTCTGACCCCTCCCCCCCCCACTCAACAGAAAAGCACTGTCTTCAAAACGGGGCCATCCACCCCTCCCCCAAAGTCAACTCTCCACGTCCCCTCCCTCCACTGCCCCTCAGACGTCCTCCTCTTTCTGCCGTTTCCGCTGCCTGGGGTTGTGTCTCCAGCCTCCCCCGCAGGTCAGGGGGCTGCTGTGGCCCACGGAGGCGGTGGGTGCACTCGGCCTCCATCTTCTCCGTGGTCTGCTGGCTGGGTGGAGAGAACTTACCAGGTGATGGGGCCGCAGATGGAGGAGCTTGGACGATGCAGGTCGGGCAGAAGGTCATCACTGACCAGGCTGGCCTCTGGGTAGTGAGCAACACTGGCGGGCTGGATCCAGTTGCTGGAACTCTGGGACCTGTTTGTTACAGCAGCTAGCATTCCTACCTGATTGATACACGTAACAGACAAAGGCAAAACTGTCCCCATGACAGCGCCCCAAGGGGATCCGCAGTCCCTTTAGATGGTGAACGAGGGGCCCCTGTGTTGAGCCAGAGGCAGGAGATGGCTTCCCTGGGGAGGAGACAGGAGAACTGAGACCTGAGGGTAAGTGGGAATTGGCTTGTCACAGAGGAAAGGGGGGAGTGTCCCAGGCACAGGGACTGGCCTGCATGGAGCTCGGCAGCAGGAATGAAGCCAGAGGAGCACCGGAGGGATGGAGAGACCCAGCTGCGGGGGCGGCTGGCGGGGCTCAGGGAGGCAGCAGGGCCAGGCCGGCCCCACTCCAACCTTTTCTAGCATTTCCACACCCATTTTTTCACGAAAAGTGGGTTGACCCAATCTGTTCTGCAGCTCAGGAAAACGAGGCTCTGAGGGGAGAGGGGACCACCGGGTTGGCAGACAGAGCTGAGACCTCGGAGCCCCAGCCCTGGCGTAGGGGAGGGCCGGGGGAGCCTGGGTCAGCCCGGCTGGCCTCCTGCGCGGGCGGGGGACACCCTGGTCCAGGGCAGGACTTCCAGGCCAGATGTTCTCGATCTGCCCCCTCCTGCTTTCCAGACCTCTTGGTGACACTGGGGGGCCCTCCCTGGGAGGAAGGCTGGCAGGCCCAGTGCTGGGGACCAGGGACATTCCGGCCACAGGCAGCGCTGATTTGTATCCAAAAAGCCTGCTGGGCCCCTAGGCAGGTTCGCGGTGGGGGGACCGTGGAGTGGTGGGGTGGGGTCTGCAGACCCTTTAACCAGTAGATTGAACGGCACATAACAGATCTGGTCAAGGCTGATGGCCTGAGCTGGAACAAAATGGGGGGTGCCTGTCCAGACACGGCAGAGCTGGCAGTGTCTGGAGCCTTGAAGCAGAGGGAGGAAACCAGAGCGGGAGTGGGGGGCGGGTGGAGAAAGAAGGGAAAAGTGCCCGCCCACGAGGCCCTTCTGCGGGACTTCTCAGAGCCTTCATCCCCTGCCGAGCAGCGTGGCGCCCAAGGGGGTGGCCGCGCTGCACAGCGGTTCCCAAACTGACCCCCTCGCCAGGGCTGTCGGGAAGCAGCGCTGGGAGCCCGGGCCTGTGCGGACGACACGCTCGGGCCCCATCGGGCAGGCCAGGCTGGCAGCCCCGCTAGGCACAGCTTTGCCCCATCCGTCACCCCCCTTCTCTGAGCCTCCTGCGCTTCTGCCTGGGTGCCCTCACCCTGAATCTCTGCTCCACCCCGGGGTCCTCCAGTCCTGCTCCCTTCAAGGCCAGGGGCAGCCGTGTCTGAACTCTCAACCCCAAGCTGGGGGCTGGTGACTCGGGGCACCCCAGGCCTCCACGGCCAGCTTAGCACCCCTGACTGCAGCCTCTGCGTCCACATAATGAAATGCGACAACAACGCCCGGGTCTGGGTGGCTGAGAACAGGGCCAGTGCTCAGTGAAGGGGGTCTGTCCTTGCAACCTGCTTTTTGAACAGAGAGATGGTGCGATCTCACCAAGGACACACAGTCACTGCAGGCAGGGCTGGGCTTCCTTTGGCCCTGGTCCCACTGGCTGGTGCCTCCACCAGCCCCTGCGTACTGTTAACAGGATGGGAGGGCTGGGCCCTATTACACTGGGTTCTTATAAATGGCATGAGGAGAATTAATAATGTATTTATAACACATCGTCGTGGTAGCCGAAAATGATCTATAAATGTGCGGTTAATGTTTTATAATGTTTTTGTAACCTGTTATAAATGATAAATGGCAGACTATAGATGCTGGATCAAATATTTATAATGCATTGTGTGCAATGTTGGGCTGCTACAGTTCGGGAAAGCCATTAATAATAAAGTGGATGGAAATGTAAAAGTTACCGACATGCCCAGCAAAGCCATTTATAATGAAATGTAAAATTCGGCTATTGGAAGCAAACCACGAGTCCCAGTCGAAGCACCGGCTGGGTTCCCCCAGATCCCGGGGAAGGAGCGGGTTGTGAATTATTCCTGAGGTGTTCGGACGAGAATGTATACTATCCATAGCACGCTGTATAAATATGCTATTAATATACCCAAGGCAGCGTGCATTATTCATGGAGCCTAATTAATTAATAGGTGGCCCCTTAAAATGGGGCGTCACAGCTTCCAGCTCCCTCCTGCCTGGGGTGCTGGCATCCACAGCCGCCCATGTGCGCCATCGCGGAGCTGACCGTGGCCTTGGGAACCAGGGGAGGACGGGACACCCCTTGGATGCTCTGCTGTGAAGTCCATGTGACCCCCTGGTACCCCTGCAAATGGCTCTGGCTCCCCTCGGGGTGCTCCGCTCAGCTGTTCCCCACAAGCGTCCGGCGGCCACAACCGCAGCTGCCCTCACTTCCATGGTCAGTCCCGGTGCTGCTGGGGACAGCCGCCCGCCTTGCCCTGAACCGCAGGAGGGGTCCGGTGGGGCCCGAGCGTGTCGTCCGCACAGGCCCGGGCTCCCAGCGCTGCTTCCTGACAGCCCTGGCGAGGGGGTCAGTTTGGGAACCCCGGTGCAGCGCGGCCACCCCCTTGGGTGCCACGCTGCTCAGCAGAGGATGAAGGCTCTGAGAAGTCCCCGCAGGAAGGCCCTCGTGGGCGGGCACCTTTCCCTTCTTTCTCCACCCGCCCCCCACTCCCGCCCAGCCTGTCCTCCCCAGAGCCTTCCAAACAGGACACTTCCCCAGGGAGGGAGGGGCTGGCAATCCCTGGGGAGCCCCCCGCCATACCCCTCGTGGCCAAGACGCCTGAAATAACCCCACCTCAGCGCAGCCAGACCGAACTGCATCAGTTTTCAGCTGCTCTGAGGGAGCATCCTGGCCCAGGACTCCGCGGCAGCTCTACCTCGTGTGACCTGAACAACTAACTGGGCCTTGGGGCCTCATCTGCAAAGTGGGGCCATGAGCCGGCCCTCCCCGGGTGAAGGTGGGGCCCTGCTGCTGGGAACCTCCGTGAGGACACCTGGGCCCTGGGCCCCCGCCGCCCACGCCCTTCTGGCCCTCTGCCTGGCCGCCTGGCCATCTGCAGGTCAGGGTCCACCCCTTGCCAGGACCGAAAATGAAAGCAGGAAGCGTTTGTTAAAGAGGCTATAAGGAAACAGGTGAACTCGTCACCATGGCAACGGTGCATCTGGCCCCACCCCTCAGCGTCTGGTGAGGACAGCCGGGTCCCCTGCGCCCTCCGACAGACCTCCCTGGACAGCGAGGGGGCTGCGGGCTGGCGGGACTCCTCAGCTCACCGCCTCCCTCTGCTGTCAAGGGGCGCTGAGGCCCAGGGAGGGTGCGGGGCTCACACGTCTGGACTGGGACTGGAGCCGGGGGGCTCCACCCCACCCCCGCTGGGCCCTGTGGGTCCAGCCAGGCTTCTGGACCTTGGACATCCCCTGGGCAGCTGAGCCCACCCTGCTCTGTGGGGAGAGGCCCCGAGTTTCCGCCTTGTAGGGAGCTAGGACTCAGGCTGCCCCCCGCATGGCTGTGCACACACAGGTGCCCATCAGGCGGCCTTGCTCCCCCGAGGGGCTCAGTCGGCGTCCCCACACCCCCGCTCGCCCCACACGTGCACACTCCGCCCCTGCCCCCCTCCACTGGGCCCTGTCTAAGATGGAGCTGGCCGAGGGCGCTCACGGGGACAGGGGCCAAGCCAGGAGGCCACCCGCACCCCCGCTCTGCCCTCCCCTGCACATGGCCACGTGCTCCCCAAGCCAGCCCCGAGGGCCCCACGGCCCCCACCCACCAGGCAACGCTACAGCACGGACACTGCACTGCCGAGCCCCAGCCACCCGCCCGCAGCCCCGCCTCTGCCCCTGTGGGTGGGGGCAGGCAGCACCCCTCCCCCAGGGCCCGGCCGCGCCTCCCCCCAGCCTCGGCCCCGACCTTGGGACTGGGCAGCAAGGAGCCCCAGGCTCCCCGGAGCCTGCCTGCCGGCTTGGCCTGTCCTCAGCCCATGCTGGGGTGAAACGCCCCAGCCCCCATCCTCCCAAACCCCAGGGCACCTGTGTTCCCAGCCACCCTGGCCCGGGGTGAGGCCTGCGGGTGTCCCCACGGCCGCCACCCAGGCTCAGATGGGGGGCTACGGCACTGTGGAGGTGCCATGGGCCCCCTACAGGGCGCCCGGGCGGGGAGGGGACTCTTCAGGTCCACACCTGTCTCTGCAGGGGCAGCAGCAGGGCTCCAGCCCCCAGGAGGGGTATCCATCCCATGTGCCTGGGGCAGGAGCCACACAGACAGGACGGGAGGGTCTCCCGGGACTCCACCAGGGAGTGGGTGGGACCTGGACACCAAGGGGCCGTCGCACAGGCAGCTGTGTGGCTGACCCATGAGGGGCACGGGGAGCAGGGAGGCTGGGTGTGGGCGCAGGGGTGGTAGGGGGCCTGGTGAGGCCGTTCTACAGCGGACAAGGCCCTGGCTGCCCCGGGGCCCTGGGGCAGGGAGCAAGGCCCCGTCCCTGGCTGGCTGGAGGCACTGCCCGCCCCTGCCCACGTGGGCCTGTTCGCCTCACCCAGGCTGGGCCTCACCGCCCCCTAGTGGACCCGGGTGAGCAGGAGCCCGGTGACCCTGCTGGGGGGTGGCAGTGATGAACCCAGGGGGCAGCAGGAGGGAAGATGGAGGCGCCCTATGTGCGGGGAACACCCTGCTGCTATGAGTGTTGATGGGGTGGGACAGTGTCACCCTGCGAGAGGGACACTGGCCTGGAGAAACCAGTGCCGCCTGGGGGCCCGGGCCCTCACTGGACACGGCCCTCCCCCGCCCTCAGCGCCCCAGGCCAGATTCTCAGGCAGACCATCCTCCAGCACTGTGGCTCCACGGGGCTGCAAGCCACCCCCACCCCCAGTGGACAGATGGGGCTGGCCGACCCCTGCAGCTGGAACACAGAGGCTTCTGAGAAGCCTGCAGCCTCAGGCCCCAGGCCCTGTGGTCCCTTCTGGGGATGGAGCGGGGACTGGTTTGCACCCCCAGCACGCCCCACTCCCCTGGGAGCCGATAAGGCCGGGCCCGTGGGCAGGGGGTGCCCGGGCACCGTCGTCTCTCTCCCCCCAGCGCTGCCAGAAAGGAGAATCAGCTGGAGGGCCAGGACTGTGCCCAGGCGGGGGGCCCTCCTGTCTCCAGTTGGACATCCCCCATGCCCCCCAGGGGCAGGAAGGCTGGGTCTAGGGGCCAGGCTCCCGGCTCCCACTCACTCCCCCCGACCCCCTCCTCCAGGTCTCCAGAAACCACACAGGCAGCGGGATCAGGGAATTCAGCACGTTTCATTTGAACCCGCAGGATGTCAGCACCCCTTCCCCTGGCTGCACCCCCAGCAGCCGCAGGCGGGACAGCCTCTGGGGCGGGCAGCCCCCCACTGCCAGCAGGGCCCGGGTGTGGGCTCCAAGTGCCCGCGGCCCGCCTTGGTGGTTCTGAAACTCGGCTCACATCACGGCCTCCAAGTGCAGGATCCTCAGGGCCTCAGAGATCTGGGCGCTGGTGTCCATCTGGCCGTACATGCCCACCAGGAAGGCTCGGTGCAGTAACACAGCCGCGTGCTCTGTGGACAGATGAAGGCCTGTCAGCTCCGCCCCCGCACCCCGGCCGCTCTCGCTCCGGGCCAGAGGACTGAGGCCCCCAGGGGCAGCAGACGGACCTTGGCAGAGGAGGGTGTACTCGGGCAGGTTCCTCAGGGCCGTCTGCACCACCTCGAAGTCGCGGCTGCCCAGGCAGTACATGAATGTGGGCAGGAAGTCGGCTGCGATGCTGAAAAAGCCACATGTCAAGGGCAGCCTCGGCCCTCCATCCCTAACCCAAGCCAGGGCAGCTGAGGCCCTGAGGCCCCCCACAGCCCCGGTCCCAGGCAGGGATGCTGGCTCACCCAGGGTTGTTCTGGATGGAGCGCAGGGCCAGGCTGAAGGCCAGGCTTCGGCAGGACTCCTCAGCCGAGCTCATGAGCCGCTGCAGGCTGGTCTGTGGGAGGACACACGTCAGAAGGCCACCTCCCGTCGGGGCTCCCTCCTCAGCAAGTGCAGCTGAGGACCCCACTCCCCCAGCCCCGCTCCGCCTTGCTGGGCTGCCTCTGTTCCAGGCTGGCCGGCGAGGCGCCCTGCCCCCGCAGGAAGGGGGGTGGGGGTGGCCGTGCCTCCCGTCCCAGCCCCCTGGGGCCCGTGGCCGCTTCTCACCGAGAAGAAGCCCAGGATCTCCGGTCTCCGCCGGGACATCTCGTCCACGTCGCTCAGGACCTCCAGCAGATCTAGGTCGGGCAGAAGGCGCGTGTGATGGAGCTGTGTACCCCCTACCCCAGCAACCTGGAGGCGGGAGGTGGAGTCCGGGGCCGGCCCACTGCCCTCTGCACACCGGCTGGGCAGGGATCCCAGATGCAGCACAGCTGCTCAGAACAAGGCACCCGAGCCTCCTGGGACCCTCCACACTGCCTCAGCGCTCGCTCAGGCGAGGGAGACCCCAGCACCTCCGGATGCCAAACACTGGGGTTCTGCTGCCTTCCCAACTCCACAGTGACGGCGTCTCTGGTCTGGGATCGACCAGGAGGTGCCCGCTCCCCCAAGACCGTCCTCCAGGTCTGCAGGGCCTGGATCTGCGTGTGCACATCCCTGGGTGTCTGTTCCTGGCCACCTCAGAGTCACGCTGCAGACTCACCGCCCTGCCCTCCCCCAGGGGCCATCCGGGCTCAGCTCCCCCGGGGGGGACCAGGGGCCACCGGCCAGCTCCTCCCTTCCTCGGTGCCCACAGGGACTCCAGAGGGTTCCCCAAGAACACCGGCAAGCAGAGCAGCCCCCACTCTGGTCTCCAGCTTCCTCCTCCAATCCCCTCTCTATGGCCCCTCCCTCACTGTGAGCAAAGACCCAGCCCTCCCAGGGGCCCTGCAGTCTCCTGGATGCCCCCCAGGAGAAGCTGCAGGGCTGCTTTGGGACCCAGGACCGCGGGGACAGAACGGGAAACCACCCCCACCACAGGGGCGCCCAGCCTGGAGGAGCCACACCCCCTAACTCACCCTCGACCGTCTGGCCCCTGGACAGCCTCTTCATGTAGGGAGCCATCTCGGCTGCGGTCAGAGGGGTGAAGATGCAGACACTGACCAAAGGCAGGGGGCCGGCTGAGCTCTCGTCTGCAGGACAGGAAGCCAGGGCCAGTCATGGGCGGGGGGCAGGATGGCCCGCCCCCGGCCGCCGAGGGCCTGTGCAGCCCAGACACACTCAACGCCGCGGCCACAGGACCCCGGCGTGGAGGGGAGGGGTGTCCCTGCTGAGCAGCATCTGGACTCACAGCAGACCCCCGAAGACGCGGCCCTGCCCAGGCGGGGCAGAGCGCCTACACGCAGCGGGCGCTCAGAGTGAGGAGCCCAGAGGCCTGCAGGGGGGCGCCTGTGAGGCGCGCCCTTCTCCCAGAGCTCTGCACTCCCCGCTGCCGCCGCGCACACAGCAAGCACTCAACAAAGGCACCGCTGTGCACAGCACCGTGCCAGACGTGTCGGTGGACGGCTGAGAGTCACACTCAGCACCGACAACTGGGCAAAACCGGGGCAGGATTGCCGTGAAGGGCCAGCATTGGAGCGGTCCCTGGTCCTCAGCCTGTTCACGAACCCACCACTCTCCGGACACGCTGCTGCAGGTGCCGGGTTGCCGCCGGGGCAGTGGGGGCTGCGGAACGGGGGCAGGAACGGAGATGCAGCCAGGCAGGGGGACAGAGGACCCGGCTGGTCCCAGAGGGCAGGTGCTGGAGGTCATGCGGGCCACGGCGCCACCTGGGGCTGCGTGCGCATCACAGAGCCGGGGCCAGCGACACCCCAGGGCCACCCAGGGCAGTCCAACCCACCCCCTGCCCAGCAGAAGTCCAGCCCCACTCACCCTCACCCTCCTCGTCCAGGACCCGGTCAGCCCCACCGTCCCTGCTGGGAAGGCTGAGACCTGCCAGGAGTGACTTAAGCATCACCAGGTCGCTGCTGTCAAGGGACAGGTCACTAGGGGGACAAAAGGCGGGCGGGACAAGGCTCTGCGTGAGGACCACACGGGGGCGGGGGGCAAGGCTGTGCCTGAGGAGCATGGGGCTGGGGGGCCCAGGGAGGAGGGAGTCCGCTCAGGACAGCCCTGGAGCAGACCCAGCGTCTGTGACCCGGGCACCACGACCCTTGGAGCTCGCAGCCCTGAGCCCCGCCACGCTGCGCCCAGACCGAGACAGCCCGGACGGGGGCGCACTCACTGGAGCACATTCAGGTGCTTCTGCAAGAAGGCGACGGCGGCCACGGGGCTGCAGCTGATGTACTTGTGCGTGAACCGCACGAACTTGCTGGCGAAGGGCACCAGGTGGCGGGAGGACTTCCGATAGTTCTGCAAAGGGCATCGTGAGGCAGCGCTCAGAGCCGGGTCTGCCCGAGACAGAGGCCGTGTCACCGGTCCCGCTCGCACCCCTCCTGGAGCCTCACAACACAGGCTGGACACCCCCAGATGCCGCCCTCTGCTGGGTCCCTAAGGCTCAGGAGTGGCCCACACCCTGCAGGGGCTCCCCAGGCTGGGGGGCAGCTGGGGGGGCCTGGCCCTGCCCCGCCCCCCTGCGGCCCAGGGCTCTGCTCTCCTGCAGGGCTCCCTGGAGCCGCGTCTGCCCTCACCCAGCGGCCTCTGGGGACAGACTCCCAGTCCTGGTCAGGAGGACCGAGCCTGCCGGAATTGTGGAAGCAGGACAAACCGACTGGGGAGAGAATTCAGAATGGGGGGACGGGGCATGGCGGCGGGAGTGGGAAGCCGGGAGGCGGGGCGGGGCCGGGCGTGGGGTNAACCTCACAGGTAAAGCTTAACTTCAGGTGCGTGAAACACAGCACACACAAAGGGAAGGAAACACGGCTGGAGAAACGCCGCCCCCCCTCGTCCTGAGAAGCAGCGCTGGAGGCAGAGCCAACTCAGGGAAGACGGGGCGGGGGCAGGGAGACCCGCTAGACCACACGGCCCCCGCACCACCGAAAGAAGGCGAAGGCAGACACTGCACACGGAGGACCCACACTAGGCAGGCAGGGGAGGCAGGCAGCCAGGAAGGGACACGCTGTCCACACGCGCCCAGCACGGTGGCTCTGAAGCCACCACACCGAGAGCCTGCTGACATGCAGGGACAGAGCAGGGGGCTGGGGCACAAGAGACATCACACACGTGCAGCCTGCAGTTGTCAACAGTCCCCATCAGGGAAGAAGGGGGACATGGGGGGATGCCCACTCTGCTCTGCTCCACACCTGGAGGACTTCTTGGAGGAGGAAGGACCCTCCAAGAGGTTAGATAGGAACGGGTGGCAGGGCAGGCTCCACCCTCAGACACTCTATCCACTCAATGAGTCCTTCTCGGCCTTTAGGTTTGAGAAAGAGCACTTCCCTACCTCCCGGTCTGGGTTCCTACTCCCAAGCAAAGGACCCAGGCGCCCCAGAGGCTCGTCGGGCCTCACCTTGCAGACGCTGCTGCCGGCGGCCCCTTGGCTATGCAGCAAGACGTCGGGCAGGGGCACGCGCAAGTCCGGCCGCTGCAGGTAGAGCTGCACTAGCAGGTCACGGCCGCACCTGCCCAGGACACTGCGGGAGAGCAGATGCGGTTACTGCGTGGCTGGGGCGCCCCCCTCCCCCGCCCCCACGGGGCCCTGAGCCGGGCGGGCCCTCACCTGTCGCCCCCCGCCCCCCTCCACGGGGCCCTGAGCTGGGTGGGCCCTCACCTGTCGCCCCACCGCCCCCCTCCACGGGGCCCTGAGCCGGGTGGGCCCTCACCTGTCGCCCCACTGCTGGACGCAGCCCATCAAGTGTGCCGTCACCTTCCTGACGCCCTCGTCGCCACCACGGCAGCAGCTGAGCAGCAGGGGCAGCCGTGCCTGGAGCAGCCCGCAGGCGCCCGCGTCCCCGTCCTGGCTGCGCGCTTCTGCCTCGGCCAGGATCAGCTCCACCAGCCCCACGAGCTCGGCCGGCTGCACCCGCAACACCAGCTCCTCCCGCCGTTTCTGCAGTCGGACGCCGTCAGTCAGGCAGGCGTGGGACGGCCGAGCCCGGCCACCCCGCCCTCCGGGCAGGGGACACCCCAAACCTGCCTGTGGGGTGCGCTGGTCCCTGCCCTGCCAGATCCGAGGGACGTGGATGCAGGCCCAGAGGAAGTCAAGGGAGGCCGAGGGGTCAAACCTGGAGGAGGCGGGGAGGCCAGACCCAGCAGGAGGCGTGACTCCAGGGGAGGGAGGCGGAGGAGTCGGGCAAGATGCCCCACCTGCTGGGACCCCAGCTGGCCGCGGAGGATGTGGGCCACCTGCCCGACCTCGTCCCAGCCTTGCCCCTACCCACCCCCTCACTCGCAGCCACGCAGCACAGACAACAGCCCTTTACTGTGACTGGAGCCCAGGGGACCGGCCACCCGGGTCAGAGAGCCGCTCCTGAGGGGCTGGGGTGGTGTTGGGCCAGATCCCCCGGGCCAGGCTCCCAGACGAGCTCTGCACCAGGCGGCTCCACACGGCACCCTGGGGCCTCGCGATGCCCGTGGTGCCAGGGAAGGAGCTGGCCTGTGGGGGTGGGGGGCTCACCCCGGGGGAGGGCCAGCGGGGCAGGGGGGCTCACCCCTGGGGGGAGGGGTGGCGGGGGGACTCACCTCTGTTCCCGGCCCCTGCCCAGCAGGAGGCGGATACACTGGTGCAGGGTGGACCAGCTGGACTGGTGTGTGAGCAGGGCCAGTAGGTAGGGGCGGAAAGATGGCACCTGGGGGCCAGGGTGGCCTTTGCCCTGGGACGGAGGAAACCTGGGTTGGCCCCTGCTGGGCTGCCCAGCTCTGACGAGTGGGGTCAGTGGATGGTGGGCGGCCTGTGGGAGGCGGCACAGGGCAGAGAGAAGCCGCCGCTTTGGGGCAGGGCCTCCCAGGCTGGTGGATCACTCCGCAGGTTAAACGTGGGCTGAACTGAACCCACTTCTCAGAAACAGGGATACGCGAGCAGCGCTGTTGGCGCAGGAGGGTGAACCACACCCTGGGATACGCAGACCCGCCAGCATGGGGCAGGAACAGGGCGGGGCCACACAGCCCCTCCCCAGCCTCCCGGTCAGTTTCTTCATCTTCCCAGGGCCAGAGGGGCCCTGACGTGGGCTCCGGCCTCGCCCCTCCTCAGGGGAGCAAGCCTCCACTCTCCCTCCAGCACCCTGTGAGGACCTGGGCCCACAGGGACCAACTCCGCCCCTGCCGTCCCGCCTCTGTGACCAGATCTGGCAGGTCGTGGCGACTGGCTCGGCACACTGGGGACCTGTCCGGCCAATGAGACTCCAGCCTGGGGCCTGCCAGAACCGACGGGAAGAGCACGCGCCAGGCCCGGCGAGGCCCACCTTGCCCCGGGAGAAGAGAAGCCTCTGCTGAAGGTCGGGGCAGCTGCCGACCACCTCAGGGTCCAGCATCTCCAGCCAGTCGACGAGCAGCCCCGAGCAGGGCCCCAGGCGCACGGCCTCCTGGCTGCAAGGAAGGGGGAACGGTCAGACACAGCCGCCTGGGGCTGACCCCAGGCCCGGCCGCAGCTCCGCCGGCTCACCTGCAGCTGTCGGCTTCCTGCTTCCCTGGGACCAGGGGCTCCTCCTTCTCAGGCAGCAGCAGCGAGCTGACCACCGCCACGGGCCCTGAGGCTGGGACGGCGGACGCGGTGGAGAAGAGCGCGGCCAGCAGCTCCTCCAAGTGAGGTGACCTCGCCTCGATCAAACCCCGGAGGACTGCGGGGCAGAGGGGGTGCCTGTCACACTGGCCCAGGGCACGCCCAACTCCAGCACACAGCCCCGCCCCCGGGGTTCTCTTTTCCTGGGGGCGCCCGGCAGAGGGACTATGGAGCAGCAAGGGGTCTTCAATGGAGCCCGCGGCCCAGGTACCTTTGCTGATGAGCTCGGGCTCCACGTCACACTGCTCCCCAGACTTGAGGGTGGCCACGATGGCACGCACAGTGGAGCTGACCGCTTCCGGGTCCCCGCGGAACGTCAGGGCCTCCGCCAGGTGCAAAAATCCACTCCGCACTGCAGGGGAGCATGTGACCAGCTGGACTCCCGCCAGGGCCCCGGGTGTGACCCCCTCGGTTCCCACACACATTCTCCTCCCCGAGGGACCGTCCCTGGGTCCCGGCCCTGAAACTACTGGGCCGTGCCCCCTGATGCCTCTGGGCCCCCCGGGAACAGGCCCCCTGACACAGCGGCAGAGCCCGAGAGCCCTGCCTCACCGTTGCTGATCCGGCGCCGCGCCGAGCACTGGGCAGCAAACAGTCTGAGCTGGGCCTGCAGGGGCCCGGCCTCCACGGAGGGACCGTCCAGCCACTGCAGGGCCTGTGCGAGCACTTTGAGGAAAAGCGACGAGAAGCCGGTGTCCTGGGGCACACAGCGCTGGGGGGGGCAGGGCGCGGCTCAGACAGGGCCAGGGCCCTGGAACCCACCCGCCGCAGAGGTGCCGCGTGAGCGCCCCGCCCTCGGCCGGCGAGGGCCCGTGTGCAGCTCCTCCCAGTGACCCAGGGACACACGACGGGGGCGAGCACGTGGGCGAGGCGTCGCGGCCCACCCCGACCCACCTGGTACTGGCAGAGCTGGCGCATCAGGGGGCAGGTGAGGACATGGCCACGGTGCATGGCCAGGGCCAGGGCCCCGCCGTGCGGGGCGCTCAGCAGGGTGGCGAGGGCCTGCAGGAGGCGCACTGCGACGCCCGGCACCTCGGGGCTCCCCTGGCGGACATGCGCCAGCTCCCGGCCCAGGGCCTGCTGCAGCGCCAGAGCAGCAGGGCGCGCGCTGGAGCTCTGCCACCGCGGGCCCGGGCTCAGTGGGAAGATCTGCACAGAGAAGGGCGGCCATCAGGCCAGCAGCGGGCACCCTGACCCACCACACTCTCCAGGCAGGCGTGCGGAGGGGGCTGTGGCCTGGGGACGGGGCCCAGGGCGACAGGCCCGGGAGAATGCATGTGGACCTGTGCACACACGTGCGTGTGCACGAGTGTCAGCCAGGAAACAGCACGTGTGCTCTGCAGCATCCATCACGGGGCCCAGGGAGCCCAGGCCACAGCCCGGGTGGGAGGGCAGGCGGGGGGCGGGGGGGCACCCGTACCTGCAGGAGCAAGCCAGCCAGGTCGTCCTCCGGGCCCAGCACTCGCACCTGCGTCACGGCGCGGGTCCTGCCCTGGCCCAGCGGCTGCTCCGGGCTGCTTTTGGGTTTCGGCGCCTCTGCGCTGTCTGCAGGGAGGAAGGAGCAGCGTTAGTGAGAAGCCCTCCCACCTGCTTTACGGGGACCCTGCCAACCAAAGCCAGCCGCCCACGGAGAAGCAGCTCACGGGCCCTCCTGAGAGCTCTCGCCAGGGACCCCAGCCTCGCCGGGGCTCCCGAGGCCTATGAGGTACAGAGCCCGCTAACAGGAGGGGCACGGGGCAGACGCAGCCTGGGCGGCCGTGCAGGGGACTCGGGGGGGGGTGCAGGTACCTCGCCGGGCGGGCAGGGAGGCTGTGAGCAGGGAGTGGAAAGTCTGGCCTCCGGACGCCCCGCGCTCGTGTTGGACCTCCACCAGGTGCGCCATGTAGTCTGCGGGGACACCGTGGGGTCAGGAAGAGGGCTCCTTCCCACAGCACCCACAGAGCCCCGCGCCTCCCCGGGACCGGCAAACGGGGTCTGAGGCGGCCGTCAGCTCAGAGCCCAGCCCGGGGCGCTCACTCTTGTCCATGATGTTCTGCTCCAGGGTCTGGGGGTCGTGGGCCACGGCCTGGTCCAGGTACTGCAGCAGCTTGCTCATGCTGGACACGGGGATGCCGAAGGACTGCACGAACAGCAGCAGCTGCTGCGGCTCCAGGTCCTGCAGGGCTGTGGGCGGCTCCCTCAGCGGCCAGCAGGCGGGCACAGCGCCGGAGGACAGCCCCGAGGCCGGCCGCTGGGTCCTCCGGCCCCCGCCCCACGTCACACTCGCCCAAGTGTGTCCTCTGTGCTTCCCAAACCAACTCGCCCCCAACCTGCCCACCCGCCCCAGCTGCTGGGCACCCTTCCTCCTCACTGCAGGCTGCCCAAGCCCACCCCACAGTCCAGACCACTGCCTCCCTCCCTCCTCCAGCACCCCGTTCTCTCCAAGGCATCGTAAGGCCATTAAGAGCTTGCAAACGGGGTCAGCTCCCTGAAGGATCTAGACACAAGCCGAATAACGGATGCCCCAGAACTGCCAGAGGCCCCCGAGCTGCCTTCTGTCCTCGGCAATGGCCTGCAGCGAGGCCCAGTTCCCCTTGGGCCATACCAGCATTTCCCCCGGCCATCCCTCCCCACCCCGGGCAGTACCGGCATCCCCTCCCGGCCGTCCGCCCCCAGGCAGTACCAACTCCCACCCCGGGCAGTACCAGCGCCCCCTCCCCCGGGCAGTACCGGCATCCACCAGCCGTGGGACCTCTGAGCGGATCATACGCAGCTTTAGCCAGTCAGGCAGCAGCAGCGCCTCCTCCGACGTGTCCACCAGGAATGCCGTGGGCAGTGGCTTCTTCTCCGGGAACCAGATGTCCAGCAGCGCCTGGAACTCGCTGTCACCAGCTTCAAGAGAGACAGCGGGGTCAGCACTGGGGCCGCTCCAGGACCTCACGCTGAAGGCTCAGGCCAGCATGTCCCCAGCTTACAGGGGGAGCCAAGGCTGCTGAGAAACAGGGAGGGGGGGAGTCTACCAAGACCGAGCACAATCAGCACCAGAGGCTTCAAGGGGTGGGCTTATCTAATCCTCACAACCGCCGTGTTCTCCCCTCTCAGTCGAGGAAACCCAAGTGCAGGGAGCCGGCCAGGCCCCCCAGGAGCCCAGGTGAGGCCGGGGCCGGCATGGGCCACCATGGGCTCCATGGGCTTGGCCGAACCAGCTCCTTCCCACCCTTGTCTCCACAAAGCCCTGGGCAGCCAACAGGCCAGACCAGCATAAGGCCACCTCCCTGAACATAAGACGCAGAGTCACCCACACCATCAGCCTCACAGGAGGGACGGAGAGGCTGCCAGGTTGGGAGGTTTCAGGCGGCCAGAGGATCGGCCAGCTCTGGACACAGCCCCTGGCCGACACGTCAAGGGCCACGCCCAGGCCTGTGGAGGGGACTGGAGACTCGGTGCTCTGGGCCCCTCGGCCCCTCGGTGGGCAGCTGTGTGGACATCTTCACCTCCAGAAACCCGGCAGGAGGAGGAGTAGGCCCAGGTGTCCAGCAACACCCACGTGCATCTCAGGACAACGGGACAGCGCCTGGACCTCAGGGGTCCCGCCAGGGAGAGGTGCACGTGCTCCCCAGGAGGGGCATCTGCCTCCATGGGAGACCCGGCCACCCCCCCGCAGCCTGCTCACCACGGGGCGGGCCCAGAGTCAGGAGGATGACCATGGCGTGGACCACGAGGATGTGCATGGTGGCCGTCTCCCCGCTGCTCCAGCGCAGGAAGACCTGGTCCTGTGACTCTGACTGCAGGAGAAGCAGGGGCTGAGCGGGAGAGGCGGGGCACGGGGCTGGGCGGGGCCTGGTGGGGCACCGCCCCCTTACCCAGCTGTAGACCTCCTCGCCTTCCTTGCTCTTGCGCATGCGCTGCACGTAGCGGGAGAAGATGGACAGCAGGGCGGCCAGCACCGCGTCGGACTCGGCGCTGCAGGAGCGCTTAGAGAAGAGGTGGGACATGATGGTGGAGCGCTCCACGATGAGCCGGGCCACGTCCTGGGGGACCGGGCGGTAGGGGGCGGGGTCAGCGGCTCGGGCTCTCCCCCCATCCCCGTCCAAGGCCACGTGACGCCGCACCCCATTTGGCACAGACACCCCGACGCCGGCCAGCACGCCGGAGCCAGAGGAGGCCCCACGTGCAGCCCCCTCAGACACACGGGCTGCGAACTGGAGAGGGCCGGCCCCGCGGGGAGGAGGGAGTGAAAGGAACACAGGCGTCTCAGGACCCACAGGGAAAAGCCGCCTGCCCATAGTCAGACACGCGTCTACTTGCAACCGGCAGCAGTGACGCAGGGCAGGCTGGCCCCTAGACCAGCCTCAGAAGGGTGAGGCCGCCGGCCCCTCGGCAAGAACCTAAGGTTGGACAGAATCCCCACTATCCACCAACCTCGGTCCTGGGCCATTCCCTCCACTCACTCCCTCTATAGGGACCTGGGGCCTTCAGGACCCCCGGGCTGCCAGCCGACAAACTCACAGAAGAGCAAGGTCAGGAGAAAGACAGTCACGAAAGAGCAGGCCACGGGAGAACACAGGCCCGTGCCCAGCTCACAGGGCCCCGCAGGAGCAGGATGCGTGGACCTGGCCGCTCTGCCTCCCAGGCTGGCCAAACCCCACCTCTCTGACCCAGAGCCACAGAGATAAGCAGCCCTGGGTGACCACAGACACGGGGGCCTCCTGCCCTCAACTCCTGCTCTGGACAGAAGGTCCCTGCCGAGGCAGCTTGGTACTTGGGGCCCAGAGCTAAGGCGTGGCCCTGCCACCTGCCGGCTCTTGACCAGGCTGGGTCACAAGCTCCCCCATCCCCGTCCCCTCACCAGGGCCAGGTCGCTGTGCTGGCCCTGCTCCTCCACGGGCGTGTGCTGGGACAGGTAGACCAGGTAGGCGCTGATGGTCTGCGGGTCGGTCTCCATGTGGATGGCCTGCGTAGGGGGCCGTGTGAGCAGGTGCCGGCAGCGGGGATGGCCCCGCCCCTCGCGCCCGCCCCCGCCCCTTGCCCCGCCCCATCGTGCCCGCCCCCGCCCATCGGTGCCTCGCCCCCGCCCGCACCTGCTGTAGCGCCAGCGCAGTGGTGCTCCTCACGCTCTCGAAGAGCGGCAGCCGGGGCAGGTCCCGCAGCAGCCACTGGTAGCCCTGCAGCGCGTCCGCGTCGCCCGAGTCCTCCTCCAGGGGCGGCTCCTTCTCCTCCCCGTCCCTCAGGCTGCCCTCCGAGAGCACCAGGGACAGGCCCTGCAAGTGGACACGCGGGCTCTGGGGCTGCCGACTCCCTCCAGCCCAGTAGAGACGCCGCGCGCTCAGAGCTTCCACGACGGAGGGCCGGCTGCCTGGGAGTCCGGCACCAGCGCCTCGGGGAGGCAGCAGAACGGACATGGGGCTGCCCCTGGGGCACTTCGGGCCATCCCCAGGGCGGGAAGGGCCCAGCAGGAAAGGACCCAGTGTCTATACGCTACTACCGTGCCCTTTCCCTTGATGGTCTCTTACGTTGAAGCCCCGGTGAGAAAAACGGTTGTTTTAACAAAAAAGACAATCGTGCCAGGGGAGCAGAGGGCCCGGCCCCCTCACCTTCATGGCCAGCACCCGGGCGGCCACCTGCGAGGAGCCCAGCCGTCGCAGGAAGTAGTCCAACACCTCACACGTGGTCTGCTCGTCGGCCTTGGGGCCCAGCAGCAGGTCCTGCAGGCGGCCCAGCAGCTGCTTCTGTTTCTGCTGCCTCTGTGGGGATGATGTTAGGGGTCAGGAGAAGGGGTCGGGGTGGGCGTGTGGTCACCCAGGTGGGGGGCGGGGGGTCAGGGCAGGCGTGTGGGCCCCGGGCGGGCACGGACCTGCCGCTTCCTGGCCTTCTGCTCCTTGCTCTCGCCCTCCTCCTCCTCCCCGCCTGAGGCGGGCTCGTCGGCGGCATCATGCAGCAGGAACTCGCAGAGGCACTGGACGGGCAGCACGTCCAAGGAGCCCTCGCTGGACTGCACCAGGTCAGCCAGCCAGGGCATGGACTGCGAGGAAGCCTGGGCGGGCGGCAGTCACATGGCTCTTCCTAGTCAGTCCCGCCGCCGCCCTCCCCCCCGCAACGGCCCGCCACCTGCGGGGACTCCGGAGGCAGCTCTCTGCACCCTGGAGCCATCGCTGAGGGGCCCGGTCTCTGGGACAGCCACCCCACCCCTCACACACTGGGGCTCGAGGCTGGTGAGCTGGGACAGCAGCAGGCTGCTGCTCTCGGTGATGGTCTGTCGGGTGGAGGCCGCGGCCAGGTGCCCCTCAAACGCCAGGATCTCCTGCTTCTCCCGCTGCGAGACCTGCAGCTCCCGGCTGATCATCTCGGCACGGCTCTCCTCGTCCGTCAGGGTGCAGGGCGGGTACGAGTAGTTGCTGGGACCAGGGAACAGGAGCGTGTCGCCGTGCCGCCCCCAGGTGGCGCTCAAGAGTAGGGGTCAGAGCCCACAGCGACGCCCCCACCCAGGCCCGGCTGGAGCCGGCAGACTGTGGAAGGTGTCTGGGCACCATTGGCAACACGGCCACAGTCAGACCCCAGTGAAGGAGCGGGTGGCCCTCAGACAGCCGGCCACCCTCCTTCCACATGACCGCATGCTGGTGCCTCCAAAACTGGCCAACAGGTGTCAGGGCCCCAGACCCCAGAGTGGCATGTGTGTGGGAGGGCCATGGGAGACCCCGGACACAGGGCCAGGTGGTCCGGCACAGGCACCCAGGCCGACTCCCACTTTAGAGACACAGGCGCCCTCCGGGGGCCCGACTGCCAGGATCCCCGGCACACGTTCTGAACGTGACCAAGCCCCCACGTCCTGGCCCCGCGTGGCGGCGAGCGACTCACTTGGTCATTGCCATCTCCATGAGCATCTTCAGCGTGGGGTACTCTTCCCAGGCGGCCAGGCCTAGGGGGCAAGGTGACAGGTGGTGGCGGGACCCTGGCCCAAGCCCCAGCCACGCCCCCCCCCCACTCACCACCTGGCCCCCAGCCAGACCTGACAGGACGACCAGGAGAGGCGAGGCCCACACAGGTTCAGGGGGTGGGGCCGGGGCGGGGCAGACGCTCACCAATGTTCTCCGGGTTGAACGCAGCGACAACCAGCAGGAGGGGCCACGCCTTCCAGTAGAGAGTGGAGATGGCGAGGTTCGGAGGCTGGTACCTGGAACCAAGGTGTCCATAGCTCAGCCTCAGCACCCGAGGTCCGAGAGGCGGACAGGTCCAGACCAGGGCCCCAACAGCCCGACATCCTGTGAAGGGCCACCCGGACACCGCATCTCAGCCGTAAAACGTCTAGAAACGTCTAAGCTACAGGATTTGTGGTGTCTGACAGCTGTTGTGTGTCTGAGGGGAAGGGGATGGGAGCACCACCTGGTGGGAACAGGCTCCTTGGAGGGACAACGCTCTCAGTTTACACAGACCACGGCTGCGGAACCCTGCGGGTGTGCTGAAACCACGCTATCACAACTGCAAGCGAACGATGCACACGGCAAGTGAAAACTGCACCGCGATCAGGTGCTGGGAAACAGTGTGAACGCACTGCCGTCTAGGAGCCAGACATGGTTTCCTAGTTCACACACAGGAACTAAGCATCGAGGCAACACGGGCCAGGGAGAGAACAGGCAGCAGGCAGGGGGGCCCGGGGGCCCGGGGCCTCACCCTGGCGGGAGCTGGATGTTCTCAGGGTGGTGGTAGGTGCACAGGTTCAGGACGGCGTCGATCAGCTGCACTCGCTCCACCTTCAGCACTTCCACGTCTGAAACGCAGGAGCCACACGCGGGTCCCTCGGCGGACGTCCTGCCCGGACTCAGGCCGTGGCCGTCCGAGCGCGAGGACACGGGGGTGGGGCGGGGACGATACAGGCATGGGATGTGCTGCCAAGGAGCCCTGGGGCGCCGGGACGCATCTGCACCGCTGGCGCTCTAGAGGGTGCAGCACGGCCGGGCTCGGGGACGGGCAAGGCTGCGCTGACACCTGTGGGTGCAGTGGATGCCCCAGGGAGGGCAGGGGGATGGGGAGCCCCCCACGCTGCAAGCCGGCCCAGGCCCACCAGCAGCGAGACCCGTGCTCTAGACGGAGGGCCGCTCTGCGTCAGGCGCCCCCACGACCCTTCAGAGAGGCGAGGGACAGACGCTCCTGCCAGGTTAAACTGTGCAGAGAACACGCGAGTCCAGGTGAGGCCCTGGAGGTCACGGGGAGGGGAGCCGGTGGCGGGAGGCCCTCACCGTCGGCCTGCACGGCCGCAGCCCGCTTCACCAAGTGGTCGGCCAGCTCCATGGCATCGGCAGGGCCCAGCGGGAGCTCCCGTGAGAGCCCGATGACCAGGATGCGCATCAGCGTGTCCTCCAGGATGGGCACCTCTGAGCAGAGGCGGAGGAAGAAGCTGCGGGCAGAGTGGGCAGTGGCAGGCTCGTGAGAGCCCCCCAGGCCTGCAGGGCCCACCTGCCCCCGGGGCAGGGGAAGCACCAGCTCGTCTCGTCTGGGCAGAGGGAGCACCGCCCACCCTCCCCGTGGTCTCTTGTGCCTCATGCCCGTGTGGACTGGGCCCCGCAGCCCCAAGGAGGACCGTGAGTGGGAGCCCGGCCTCAGGGTCTCACAGGCCAGCCTCGCCCCCAAGCCATGCCCCCAGACAGCGGCGGGGCTCGGGCGGATGTGAGGGGAGCACACTGACCCCGTGGTGGGGCCCAAAGTGGCAACAGAGGGGAGCGAGCTGTCAGAAGCTCAGGGAGGGGGACCCGGCTCGGGGACTGGAGGGGCAGACAGAGGACACGTGTGTGCGTGCCTGGACGCGACGGGAGCGGGTGGGGACGGGGACGTCTCGGGCCCCTGCGCAGCCAAGCACCCGGGGGGGCGCAGGGGACTGCAGAGCACCTGGCGGAAGGGCGGCACAGGTGTGGGCACAGGGACGGTGACCCCCAAGACCGCCCGAGGCCTGCCTGGCCTGGGTGCCCGGCCCCGCCCCCACCAGTTGGCCTGCTCACTTGCGGTCACTCTCGGGCGGCCAGTTGTCCCATTTGTAGTAGGTCTCGGGCTGCTCCGTGAAGAGAACCTTATGGAGGCTGCAGGGCGGCAGGGCCATCAGGGAGGGGTCCTGGGCCCCGCCACCTCATCAGTCCCCACGGGCGGGGAAGCCTGTGTGCAGAGGGATGACCCTCCTCCCAGCTCTGCAGTGAGGCCTGGGGAGGCTGGCAGGCGATGGGCCCCTCCCACAGGGCGCTCCCCACTCCAGACAGGACCCCGCCTTCCTGAGGCCCTGCCGGAAGCTCGGACACCACAAGGTGTTGGCTGCTGCCCACTGGCCCCTCTGGTCTCTGAGAGGCTGGCGCCAGCTCGTGACCTCTCACCCGGGGAGGGGCCCTGTCACTCGTCACCGTGAGCTGGGAGCGCAGCTGGCCGGGAGCAGGGCAGAGCTGGTCGTACCAGTGCACATAGTCCTTGGGGGCGAGCTTGCTAATGGAGGGCACGACGGTGTGCAGCCACCACACAGCGTCCCGCTGGATCGCGGCGATCTGGGTCTGGAAGGAGCGCAGCGCCTCGAGATCTAGGGAGGAGGAGATGCTCACGGCGCCTGCACGGCGGCCAGCGGTGGGTTCACGGCCAGGCGCACAGAGAAGGCCTGGTGGGCGGCACCAGCATCCTGAGAACTCCGCAGCGGGGCGGGGCCGAGGCGGGGCCGAGGCGCTGGAGCCAGGCTCAGCTAGCACCTGACCTGACGGTCCTCCAGGGCTGAGGACACCTCAGGGAAATGAAACCCTGAAATCCCAAGTGTCCTTCCAGCCAGTCGCTTAAAGGGCCTTACAACCAACCCTTTCCAGGGTCAGTAATGACCCAGAGCAGGCTGACCCAGACACCGCTGCCCTGCCCCCAACCCTAGCCCCAGCCCAAAGACCCCAGGACCCGCACAAGCAGACCGGCAGAGACGACCCCGGGCTGGGCGCTGTTGCGCTCCGCCTGGACAGAGTGGGAACCAGCAGTTTCAGAAGCTTCTGGGACTCCAGGGCAAGTTGCCTCCCGCCCCACCCCCCCAGGCCCACACTCAGAGCAGAGCCCCCTTCTCCTACCCCAGGCCGCCTCCCCACCAGGAGAGCCCCCGCAGCAGGCAGCCCACCCCCAGCTCCTCACTCTTCTTCTCTCCTTTGTCCCAGGCGACGCCAGCCTCCTTCACCTGGGCGGTGATGCCAAGCATCATGGACACGGCCAGCACGTCCGTGACGTGCACCACGAAGCGCTCCTGCCGGACAGCTCAGCTCAGCTCAGCGGGCCCACGTCCCTGTCTCCCCCCACCCCCACAGGGCCAGCCAGACGGCAGGAGGCTGGGGACCCAGAACCGGCCACAGCAAGGCCAGGTCGGGCCACAGCTGGAGGTTCAGCCCTCAGAGCTACCCTCCGGAGAACAGGACCCCCACGGGCTGTCTGCTGACTCGCTTACGTGGCACTTGAGATCCGCCACCCTCGGCCCCAGGTCCTATTCTCCAGAGGCCCTTCCCACCTCCTCCACCTCCTCAAATCTACCCTGAGCAGACTTCCCCGCCCTGGGGGCGCCGGCAGCCTGCGGCGGGGTTCTGCACACCTTGAACTCCATGTCCAGGTACTGAGGCTCCTTGCGCTCCTGCATGAGCCCGAGGCAGAAGGCCTGGAAGTTAATCTCGTGCTTGGTCTGCTTGATGATCTCACGCAACAAAGCCCGGGAGGCCCGCAGGTAGTCGTCCTTGTTGGTCAGTAGGTCCTGGAACACCATGGCCAGGAACTGGGGAGAGAGAGCGGGGAGCTGCCGGCCGCCTGCCCCAGGTCACGCGGCCCTCGCAGCTCTCATCCTCGGGACAACAGGAGGCCGCCCAGGGACCCAGGGACCCACAGGCCCCAGGACAGGCCCCGACGGCTGCTGCTGCACGGCCAGGCCCGGCCCCTGGCCCCTGGCAGGGCCTCCTCACACACGCTCTCCTCCCGTGGGGGCTGGGGCGGGGGTCCCAGGGCCCCACCTTGGGTGCCAGCTCGGAGCTGTGCTGGAGCACGGTGTACAGGATCTGCATGTTGTTGGGGTTCCGCGCGTTGGAGAGCTCGTTGAAGATCACGAACTTGATCGTGGTGCCCAGGTTGTCCTTGTGCGCGTTCAGCAGCTCCCTGGGCACGGCCAGGCAGAGGGAGCTGGAGCGGCTGCCGCCCCCGCCCGGCGGCCGCGCCCCCCATGCCCCGCGCCCCCGCCCCCCGCGCACCTGATGCAGAGCATGTAGTGGTTCAGCAGGACCTTGGGCTTGAGGCGGATCTTGATCAGGTGGGAGATGACATCCATGTCCTCGGCGCCGTGCGTGCTGCAGTTCATGCACACGGACATGAGCAGGTCCTGGGCGGGCCGCGTCAGCTGCGGGTGGCGGGGCAGGGAGACGCGTCAGCCCCACGGCCCCGGGCGCCGGGAGGCCCCTCCTGCACGTGCTCGCGAGCCCTCACCTTGGGGTTCTGCAGCCACATCTCCAGCTTCTGCACCGTCATCAGCCGCACCTCCTTGTAGCCGCAGGTGGAGGTGAGCAGCCGCAGGAGGTTCCGCGAGACGCTGTCGATGGGCTGCCGGCGGTTGAGCTGGTCGCGCAGCATGTCCAAGACGTACTCCTCCACGCTCTCCGCCAGCTCCTCGTACCTAGGCCAGAGGGGGGACAGCAGCGGGCAGGAAGGCAGACGGGCGGGGGGCTCTCCCGGGGCCGTGCGGGCGGGGGGCGCATGGCACACCTACCTGGGCATGAGCTGGCCCTCCTGCTCAGGGCTGAGCTTCTCCTCGGCGATCAGGAGCTCCGTCTGGCTGTCCTCCTCTTCCGTGAGGGACGGGTGTGGGCTGCTCCCTGCAGAAGGAGCACCTCGTGGACACCGGCTCCCCTGGCACCACATGCCTGGGCCCCTCCCACGGGGAACCCCAGCCCAGCTGCGGGGTGGGGGGGGGCCTCACCAGCACTGAGGTCCCCTCCGCCACGCCCCGCCTCCCCCTGCAGGAGCACACCCTTGGGGGGCATCTTGGTGTTGAAAGCCGTCTGGATGTTGTCCACAAAGGTCCTGCAGTGCGGGCTGTCCACCCAGATTCGCTCCCCTAGGGAGTCTTCAATGTACACCTGCAAGGACAGAGCCAGAACCTCAGCCTGCCCTCCACTGCATCCCCCTGCACATGGGCAGCAGCAAGCTGGGAGCCTCCCCGACCTCCCGCTGCCCCTTCACAGCCAGCAGCTCGGGAGAGGAGATGCTCTGGGTTGCCACACGCAGCCCTCGGGGCTCAGATGCCTTTAACCCCCTGGTGGTACAGTGGTCCACCCACCCCGATCGCAGCCCTCTGCCTTCACCAGAGTGATCGCCTGGGAGAGGCCGCTCACCTTAACGAAGATCTCGGGCCAGTTCTCGTCCTCCTCATATGCGGCCATGAGGAGGTTGCAGGCCAGCACAGACACCAGGCTGTTGCCCTTGGCCTTGAAGTTGATGGAGGCGTCCCGCCGCAGGAGGCTGCACAGGGCCTGAGGGAGACGGTGCGGTGGCAGGGAGGCCCAGCTGGCTCCACCCGCCCCTCCCCGCTTCCTGACACAGAGGAGGGGACGGTGGCCCTCACCTCGATGACGCCCTCCGTGGCGAAGATGTTGGGCTTCATCTTGGCCAGGTACATGAGACTGAGGTACAGGACGCTGTCCGGCTTGGCCCGCGTCACCTTCAGCTGCCTCACGGCCCCGCACAGCACGCCCTCCAGCCGGTCATCATTGCCCTCCAGCTCGGCCGCCTCAATCTCGTCCAACAGCACCGTCGGTGGGACTGGACAGGGGGACGGCTGGTCAGCCCCAAGCGAGACCGCCCCGCGGGGCCCCCAGGCCAGGGGCTTCCTGGGGTGTCCTCCAAAGAGCTGTCCGAGGGCCTGGGCCGAAGCCGCAGGGAGGGGGGACAGCCGGGCAGCACAGGGCAGGGGCCACCCGCCCCCAGGAGTGAGCAGGCCCAGGAGGCGCCACGTGGGAGCCCGTCGGGCGCGGCCAGAGCCCTCCCGCTGCACCCACGTGGCTACTCTAGGGTGACCTGGCCTAGGAACGTCTCTTTTTCTACAAATTGGCCCTTTTATCTAAGCTTCCGAGCGAACCGGCAGGGTGCCACCTGTGGCCTCCTCCTCCACCGCGGCCGCTCCTGCGTGGTCTCCTCAGGTCTGCCCCTCCGAGGCTGCTCCCCGTGTCTCTGCGAGAGCCCGCTGGGGGCTCCGACTCTCCCCCCGCGCAGCTGCCCTCTGCTGTTTCCCTCCTGCTACCTACTCAGGCGTCCTGGCCCCCACCTTCCTTCTCTGACGGGACTGGAGGCCCCCCTTCCCACCCCCCACCTCTGGGGGTCCCCCAGGGCCAGGTTCGGCTCCACCCACGTCTGCTCTGTACCTCACTTGCCATTACTCGGACCCATCTGTTCTCTCACTTCCACTGTGATTTCTTCTCTGAACCAAGGAGTTTTTTAGGACTGTGTTTTTAGATACCCAAGTGATGGCAATGCGACGGATTTCTGACTCAAATGCATGGAGGACAGAGGCTGACCGACATTCCCCGAGTGCTTTCCACGTGCCAGGGAGAAAGACAAACAGGCAGGACAGAGGGGTGGAGCTCGGAAGGTCCTGGCTGTGGAGACACTCCAAGTGCCAGACGCCATGAAGTAGCTGAACTCAGCCTCTTCTGTTTTGCTAAATGTGTTTCATTTGTAATAGGCCTTTCATAACCATACTCCACGTAACCTTCAAATGCACCTTAGCTGGGACTTGTGTGATGATAAAACCAACGCATGGCCAGTGAGGAGAGAGCTGTGGCCTGAGTCGGGACTCGGCCCCTCAAGTGCTCCCAGCGCTGACCCGGCCCAGCCACTGGGGGGGGGG